GTCGCATCATCCAGACAGCTTAGAAATACATTTTTATGACATTTAGGAAGTTTTAATAACGTAATATGTATTCCAACACTATTTAACGATGTTACTAAAATTCCGGAATAAACTCGAAGTGGTTGTATGCTCTTATTATCTATAATAATATACTTATATATACGATTCTTCATATACATATATGTACTTTTCAAAAATTTAACATAACTTACTAAGTTGTTTTATAATTTCATGTGTGACAATGCCTTGTTCTAATTGACTTAATGCTCCAAAATTATTTACTACTACTGCAACATTATCGCCACTAATCAATTTTAATTCTTCACAAATACGTTGCAACATGAGTGAAACGATTTCAGATGCACTTTTTATTTTCATTCGTTCGTAACCAGCTTCTCCGTGAATACCCATACCAGCTTCTATTTCATCTGGTGCAAGTTCGAACATATATCCTTGACCTATGTTGTGTTGCATAAATAATTTTATTAAAAAAGTATAAATATTTTTTGTTCTTTATTTACTGTATATTTGATATCATTCTTTCATGATCAAAAATAATATATAAATATATCTCATATTAATCGACAAACCAGGTATAGAACATGCTAATAATCCAATTGCATAAGTAGCCATATTTTCCACAGTATACTCTGCATATTTTAGTACTTCTGAAAGAGCTTTTCCTTTTTCAGCAAGTGCACCAGCAATTTTAATAACTAATAACATCCCAGTTAAGCCTCGTTTACCAATAGAACTTTGTTCTTCCTCAGGAATACTACAATCTTCGCCAACTATTATCTCTACAATCTATCATATATTCGATATCAATTAGTGATGATTGCGAATATTCTTTTGCATTGATTTAATGATAATAATAAATAAAATTAATTTAGAATTCTATTTTCTATAAACATACATTAATACCCGCTTGTTTTGCTTTTTCAAGCGCTATTCCAAAGTTAAGACGATCTCCAGTATAATTTGGAACTATTACTAATATACCCGCTATAACATATAAAATACGAAAAGAATTAAAAAAATAAATTCTACGACTGAAAAAATAAATAAAAAAGTTTAATACCTGTATTATTTTGTGCGACACAATTAATAGCATGTGTTATATGTTTAGAAGGTGGTGATGCAAATATAGAACCAGCTATGGCAGCTGTCAGCATACCAGTACCAACAAAACCTATATAAATCGATTCAAGAAGTAATTAAATAACTCATTGTTTACAAAACTATTTGAATATTTATAAATACCAGCAACAAACGGTTCATGACCACTACCACCACCACATATTATAGCAACTTTATTCTTCTGATCTCTAATCTGAAGTAAAATGAAAGCAAATATTGGAATATTTTATTACAATAAATTGAACATACCAGTATTATTATGTATTACATACATCAGGAGATAGAACGACTTTATGAGCTAATAATAATTCTAACTGTGGATAAGTATAACATAATCCTGACAAGGATTCTGCTACGATATCATCGATTTTATTTACTAAATGTTTTAAACCAGCCATTGGAAGCACTATCGTGTTTAAACTCGGACGTAAATAACGAAACTATGTCTTTCCACAATGAACTTCGTTGATTAAGTTCATTAGGTTATCGTGCTAGTCTTTTGATTAACGTATACAGATTCAAAATATAGATAAAACGATTTACAATACTTGTTACTTGCCTCTTCAATGACATAAATACAAAGTTCAAAACAAAAAATATTGTATATAAATGAATGTAAAAAAGTAATTGTGTATAAAATTACAAAAGAATATAATATAACACGCGCGCGCGCACGCATACAACACTAAATATAAAGAATTAATATATACATGTATATATTAATATGTGAAGAAAAACAAGGTTATTATTCATTTACTTGTGAAATCATTGAGCAAAGATCTTGTATTATAAATAGAACCTATTTGTTGTATTTAATAATTAAATACAAAAGGAAAACTGAGTGTGATATTACGTTTTTTTATGTTCGTTGATTGTATCACATCATTATTACCATACAATATAATGATTTAACACATATATTTGATAAATATGATTTTGTATTTTTCTTAAAAATTGGATTATTTTTTCTTTCTCAATAAGAGTAATAAAATTCTTCTGCAATTTAATTATTTCAATTCTTGTTGTGTATAAAATAAATAAACAGTTTTGCTAATAGCTGGTCCAATTTGTCGTTTTTGTTGTCCATATTGTATATTTGCTATTAATGTTTGTCCACAATTAGATTTATGCAGCGCGTTAATTAATATGAGTGGTGTAGGATAACATTCGACAATTGCTAATGCTTTGTTTACTGACATGCCTTTCAACTGTAATAATTGACGAACAAACATTTGTCGTACATTAAAATTCTGTAAAAAAAGAAGGATTTAAAATATTTACATTATTTTATATTATGTATATAATAATTATATTATTATAATTATATACATTTTTAATTATATAACATAATTATAATAACATAATTATATACATACTTTCAATTTAGATGCAGCTTTATTAAATTCTTCAAATTTCATTACTAAAATTGAATTACTAGAAATGTCTATTGGTAGAAGATTCTCTTTTTTACATTCTATTAAATACTTTTTCTGAAATATATTAAATATAAGTAAATAAAAAAATATTTGTATACATTACCGTAATTAACTGATTATAACATAATATACATACAGCATAAAGTTTACATAAAATACTTGTTAAAGTTGCCAAATATGACATTGAATCTTGATGACTATCTGTATACTTGACAATAAAATTATCTTGTACCAATGAATTAACAGATGCTTGTAGTAGCGTTGAAAGTGGAATTCCAGTTCGTATAATCTTATCGTGATCTTCTACTATATACAAAAGATTTTGTATTCCAGATTGTTTTAAACGAAACTATAACATTTTATTAAAAAAATTTGTTATAAAAAAAAATTATAGTATTATAATTTATTTTCATGAGTTAATTGTACCTTTTGCTCATGAAATCGTCCATCTTTAATACTTGCACTTAAATCATCTAATCGTTTCCTTTCTACTATATATGGTAAAACTAATTCTTTCTTAGTATATTTACATTTAGCAATCCAGGTAAAGTCACCAATTCTTAAATGACGTATTTCAAATAATATTCCTAATTGTTTTAATTCAATCAACGTTGCATCATGTTGAGGTTTTGTTTTTCCACTATTTTAATAATATATAAATATTATATATTTTTTGTAGTATATATAACTTGAATTATTATTTACACTTACTTACCCACAAGTCTCTTTAGTATCTACCAATAAAACTATGTCAAAAGAATTTGGTCTTAATTTTATTTCATCTTGAGTTCCATTTAACATAATATCTACCATATTTGATGATAGTTTTATTGTACTTTGTTGATCAGATGTTTTTAAATAATTAAATAAAGGAGATTTTTGCTTATTTTCCTCATTTTCAATTATATATTTTTCATTACTGAATTTAGGAATACTTCCTGCTTTAACATTGATCTTATCCGTAACATAATCATAGTTTTGTGTTGGTAAAGAATTTTTCAGTTTTTTAAAATAAAGTTGGAGTAAGTGTTTATTATAGTTTTTCAAATTAAAAATTTGTTTTATTTTTATAGCTAAATGTATCCCTTGTTTAGTTAAATGACACCTTTACAAACAAAATATATATTATTTTTTGAAATTACCTATTAATATAAATATGTTTTCAAATAGAGATTTATTAAACATACCTAATAGGAAACTGCTTTAACCGTATTAATTTGCTAGCAATTAATATAGAAATTGATGATTTCCCATCACATATATCTGGATCCAATGCTTTTAGTGATTTATTGTATAATTGTTTAGATTCATACAATAATTCTAATTTAGAAATGCATCTTCATAAATAAATAACTTTATACTATTATTACACCGCATAGATATTATATAGATAATTGACAAAAGCTTACCAGAATAACTTGAATCTCCTTCTTTATTGTATAACGTTAATAATATGGCATAACAAGCAAAATTCCATGACGACAAAGAAGACTTTTTAGATGTTGCTTCTATCTTAAATTACAAACAAATTCTTGCAAATTACAGTAAATTTTTGTAAATGAGTCTTTATAAAAATGTTATGACTTACTTGCCTTATTATATATTTTTTAATTTCTTCTTCATACATTTCTATACGTTTCTCTCTTGATGAAAGAATGAATTCACTACGACAGCAACTATCACATTTGCAAACATTATTTGTACGCTCCATTTCTTTTTGATGCACTTTATGTTCTTTAAGTCTTTTGTCTAGCATTGTACATAATTTTAAGCCAAAATGTTTTAATATTATACAATCTTTTCCAGAATCTAATGGTAATGGATATCTTTTTAAAGTATTCAAAGCTTTTGTAAAATGATGTTGCAAATCAGATTCTTGAGATATTGCTTTTTTTTTCCATTCTTCCAGCCAGAGCTCAAACAATGGATTCGGCTTATTTATTGTAACCTTGATCCTTTTCATATTTAATAATTATTCTATATTATTTATATTATACTTTAATATGTTATATTAAATTATCTATGAAATTAATATTAAAGGTATTAATTTATTTATTCATTTTATAAATTGAATCCTATTATTCTTAAACGTGCTCTAAACGCGCCAATTGCAATTCGATTGAGTTTAAATAAGAAAATCAGGATTACCAATAGTTCAACACAAAATTGTAATCAATAATCTTGGAAATTGCCCAAACATACTATTTTCAAATAATATTAATGTTAAATGTTGTTATATATAGCATAATTATTATTAAAATCTCTAATATCTCTAATAATTGTAAATTATATTGTGGTTGTAATTATAAGATCATAATAATTAAAAAACAATTGTACATGTAAACTTTACTCAATAAAAAAGTTATTTGATTGGTCAATACTTGAGATTCTGTGTTGCATTTAGATTGGTTTTAGATTGGTTGATATGATTATGTGTGATTATATGTTAAAGCTGGTAGAAGCTATAGAAGCTGATAAAACCGTAAAAGAGCATTGAATTAAAAGTGCCGCGTAAGTGGCTTAAAATATAAGTATTTGATAAATGATAATAAATTAAATACAATTTATGTATCTACAGTGTTTAATACACACTTGTTTAAACAATTTTTGATATGGAAAATATACCGGGAAATGAGGTTAGTATCAGCATTTTATTATGTTCATATGCATTTTTAATATTCAAAACAATAGGCTTCCAATTTTTTTTTGTTTAATTACTGAAAAAATAGATGAGACTGTTAAAAGATTAGAATACTGTTCCGCTTTATATTATAATAAATATCTTTATACAAATATAGATTAAAATATTGAGGTAATATTGTTGGCAATTATAATTGTTTATAGATCAGTTGATGGCAATTTAACTTCAATATAATAAAGATTAATAAAATATATGTTTTTAAAAATAGAATCAAGCTACACAACATAGAATGGATATTCAGCAGATGTCCCATCCAATGCCACCTATGATGGGTATGGCATCTAATCATCATTCTCCAAATATGATGGAACCACCAAAAACGCTACCTAGTTTATTAAGCTTGAAAGTAACACCACCAACAGAATTACAACATCAAAATACTGTAGAGGATACAATAAGAGAAGGAGACAATGATACAGTTAAACTTCCAGCTGCTTTAGAACAAGCTTTAGCTTTTAAGACAGAAAGAGCTAAGGAAGTAGGTGGTGATCCGAATGATATGGTCTCTATAGGAAAATCCACTAATGATGAATCAACAGGGGAAGATGTTCCTCAATTAGAAGATATATTGGAACCAGAAACGACTATTGAAAAAGTTGATTCAAAGACAACTAAAAGTAAAAAGAAAAAAAAGAAGAAGAGGAAGAAGAATACAAATGAAAAGAAAGAATTAGAGAAAAAGCAAGACCAAATAGAAGATAATAAATCGAAAGAAGATCTACCAGAGATAGAATATATTCAAGAAATCCCCAGTATAAATGACTTGGAACCAATGTATCGTCAATTTGCCAGAGTATTTGAAGCATTTAAATTAACTGAACCAGAACCTCGTTCTAATGAAGCAGGAGATAAGGGTGAACCAATTGGTCAGTATCCTCCTGTTACCAATATGCAAACTACGGGTAATGTACCCAGTAAAATACCACCTCTGGATGACTTTGATGACGATGTAGGTCAACAACAGCAACAACAAGGTACCGGAGAAAATGGTGCTCCACGATTATCTAAACGAAAACTCAAGAGATTAACGCGACTAAGTGTTGCTGAATTAAAACAGCTTGTAGGTAGGCCTGATGTTGTAGAAATGCATGATGTCACTGCCAGAGATCCCAAGCTTCTTGTACAACTTAAGGCACATCGTAATACCGTACCTGTACCAAGACATTGGTGTTTTAAAAGAAAATACCTACAAGGAAAACGAGGTATTGAAAAGCCTCCTTTTGATTTACCTGATTTTATAAAACGTACTGGAATCACGGAAATGAGAGCAAGTTTGCAAGAACGTGATGACACTCGTACTTTAAAAGCAAAAATGCGTGAGAGAGCAAGACCTAAATTAGGTAAAATTGATATTGATTATCAAAAACTTCATGATGCATTTTTTAAGTGGCAAACGAAACCACGTATGACAATTCATGGTGATCTTTACTATGAAGGTAAAGAATTTGAAACTAGACTTAAAGAAAAAAAGCCTGGTGAATTGTCTGATGAATTACGCACAGCATTAGGAATGCCTGTAGGACCGAATTGTCATAAAGTACCACCACCATGGCTAATTGCTATGCAGCGTTATGGTCCACCACCAAGTTATCCTAATCTTAAAATACCAGGCTTAAATGCTCCGATCCCAGAAGGGTGTGCCTTTGGATATCATGCTGGAGGTTGGGGAAAACCACCTGTTGATGAAACAGGTAGACCTTTATATGGAGATGTTTTTGGTGTATCTCGTACACCAGGTGGTGATGCTCTAGATGAAGAAGTAGATAGAGGTATGTGGGGTGAACCTGAATCTGAATCATCTGGAGATGAAGAAGAAGATGAAGATGCAGAGGAAGGTGGAGATGGAGAAGCAGATGGAAAAGATGGAGATGGGGATGCAAGTGGATTGGTTACACCTGGTGCAGAAGGATTGATAACACCAAGTGGTATTACATCTATTCCAGCTGGATTAGAGACACCAGAAACAATAGAATTGAGAAAGAAGAAAATTGAGAGTGAAATGGAAGGTGGAGATACTCCTGCATTATATACAGTTTTACAAGAACGTAGAACAGAAGGTCTAGGTGCAAGTATGATGGGAAGTACGCATGTGTATGATATGACAGGTGCAGCAGGGGGTCAAGCACCACCCTCTGTCATTGCCGCACGACGTGGTATCAGTGGGACAACATCTGATGCAAGAACAGAAAAAGATGGTGCCGTTGAATTGGCATTAGATCCTAGTGAATTAGATCTTGATTCTGAAGCAATGGCATCGAGATATGAGGAAACCATGAGATCACGACAAGCTCACCTTAGGAGGGAAGATTTATCTGATATGCTTCAAGATCATGTACAAAGACAAAAGGTTTGTATTTGTTTTGTGTCTTATTACAAATGATGATCTATAATATTATGTACATTTGATTGTTAATCTATTATTCTATTTACAGAGTAAACGTAAACGACAGCAAACACAAGATACAAAAGCTTCTAAAAAATATAAAGAATTTAAATTTTAAACATTTTATTAGATTTCAGAGTAAGTGTTGTACTAAATAATTAACAAATATTATTTAAGTAAAAAAAACTTTAGATTTTAAATAAAATATTACTATATCAAAAGACAGAGTTGAATTTATAAATGTTCAACAATTTTATTTCATCATCTATAAATTAATAAATTAAAATTTATGTTTTAATTATAATAAAGCATACAATAATTCTTTGTATAAACTATATCGACATTTAATACAGATTTAACTTTTAATAAAAAGTGTGAATATATTCATTGGAAACATTACATATTGAGTACTGTATGAAATATATCATAAATCAGTAAACAACTATGAAACATATTTGTACTTATTTAACTAAATTATATTGGAGGATATGATATTTTAAACATTAATACTTCATAATTAGAATTCAATTGTATAACAAAGTTTCTAATATCAACATTATAGTTAAATTAAATTATATGAAATACTCTCTTCTAAAATATTTTATACATTTATACAATATGTTTTTTTTCTGACAATAGATATTCAAATTGATTTAAATTAAACCTCATTAAAGGATAAGAAAGATAATGAAGAACTAATAAAATACATGGTAAAGTTATTGCTATAGTAAATCTACTAATAGCACTACCAATCTCTAACCAACTACCATATGGATTAACATTAAACATAAGAGGTAAAGACAAACAATCTCCTAGAAAAAGGACTGCTAAAAAAGCTCTTCTTGATCCAAGAATATGACTTGCACACCCTATCAATATTAACGGAATACTTAGCTTAAAAAGTATAAGTGAACTCATAATAAATGGAGAAAAAACAGTAATAAAATGTTGTGTCCAAACAGGATCAAATGAGCTTATGCTTGCCATGTTTCCTGTTCCGAAAAAACATAACAATGTATATAACATCTAAATTGCAAAATTAAGGAATATAATAGAAAGCTCATTAACTTAATTACATTAAAGTATTTTATATACCATGAAATATATCTGAAAGTTTTTAAACAATTAAAGAAAAGGATACAAAGAATGATGCTTTAGTGAAATCTTTGGTACTTAAAATATTATCAGTAGTTTTATCAAAATCTTTGACAGATAAAGGCCAATGCAGTAAATGTATTGCAAGTGTTAAAAAAAAGAAAGGTTCATAAGATGCAGATAATAAGGAAAGAGGACAGAAAAGACCAATTGTGATCCCTTCTATTCTATCTTTTGGATTTACAGTGTAAGTCCAAATAAATAATGGTGCACTTGCTAAAATTATCCAAGATATCCAATATCGGCCATCTATTAATTTTAAATATACCAGCCCTGTTATTATTAATCTCACTATCTCAATTGCCTTTTTATATTTTAGTTGATGCCTTATAGCAACCTTGCATATCATAATACATATACCAATTGAACTAAAATGGAAAAAATAGCAATTAATAACAATTTATAAATATGGAAATGTCAAAATATTTACAATCTATAACTTACACTATATAAATTCGAGGATAGGGTTCTACTATTGGCAATAAAGGATACATGGCCAAAATCAACCCTGAACATAACAACATATTATGTGTCTTGTTCAATATTACTTTTTGCATTATAATAATGAACAACATTCCTGCGCTAAGAGCAGCTCTATACGTTAAACCCATGAACATTATAAATAACAAAAAAATAGTTCCTCCTATTTCTATTAGGAATTTTTTAATATTTTGTTTCCTTAATTTAGGAACAAATTTAATTAAATTTATACCTGCTAACCAGAGAGAAATGACAGTAAATAATCCATATGATAACTGTCTTAAGTTATAGCCACTACTTCCTGAAAAATAACAGAAATTAAAAAAGACATTTCTATCTTATTTTTATATAATTAATATTGAAAATATATTTTAAATAATTCAGATAGTATATAATATATATCATACCTGTATATCTGATAATTAATACAATCAATGAGCTTAAAAATATTATATTGACTAATAGTAATAATGAAGATTTAATTTCTTCGCGTGGTATTCCAACTATCTTGAAGAATAAAAATATTATCCAACCACTCCACATAAATGTCATATACATTAAAAAATAATTTCTTTGATATTGTTTGTAATAATATAGATATTCTTTGGCTAATTTTATTGCTTCTTCTGCTTTTGTAATTCCGTTTACCATCTTTTCTTTATTAATATATTCATTAATTTCCCAAATATGTTTGTTAAGTGTAAGTTCTCGCCAATCCATAAAATCATTACTACTTCCACAACTAAGTATACGATTCTCTGTTACTTGATATGATAATTGTTTTAAATTATTAAGTAAAGCTTGTGCATTATATGTATCATTATTTCTCAAGTAGCGTTTTCGTAATACACCCTAGTAATAATATATAAAAATATTCTATACAAAAATTTATAAAGAATATTCATACTTTAAGTGATTTAATAAGTAATATTTCTAGAAATAGTTCGAAAATAAAGATTTAATACAGAATAGCTGTAGCACTTACTTCATTATTAGATGGAATAGGTATGCCTATAAGTGTTGATATTAAAGGAGTTATATCTGCCTGATCCAGATCATAACGCGTTCCAATGGAACTTACACCTGCACCCCAAGCAATGAATGGTGTTTCTGTTTCATCAGTAGATCCACTTCCATGTGAACCCCAATCAGTCATTCCATGATCAGCTGTGAAAATGTATGCTGTACTTTTATCATTAAAAAATTGTTCTGTTTTTTGTACAATTTCTTCTATTCTCTGATCAATATAGTTCATATTTTCAATATATTTTCTGAATTAAAATATATCAGTTAATTATACTATATTTATGTTACTTAATCCTTTTAATTGTATTTTATTTGTAATATACCTTGATTGAGGTTTTTGCGAATGACCTATAGTATCACAACCAAGAAGATGAAGAAAAAAAATAATACCACCCATATGTTTCACTATATGTGATTTTTTTTCAAGCCATTCTAAATATTTATCGAATACCCATGAATCTAGACGTAATATATCATTTTGTAAGCTATCAAAATCTTGCCACTCAGAAGGATAACTTTCACCATATATGTTTCCTTTATTAGCTAATTATGAATAATATTAAATAATTATTATATATACAAGAATATATTAGCTAATTAGATCTCTTAAATTTAGATTACCTTTTGTAAATAAAGGAATAATGTCAGGACTGCCCCATGCCCATGTTGATTGACTTTGATTGAAGACAGAATCAAAATCTATAGGATTTTCTTTCCATCCTTTGAAAATTGCACTTGGATCTTCATAAAGTCCTGCAGCAATTGCAATATTACCTGGTCTTGATTCTGTAGGAACACGAGTATGTGAAATACCCCAAACACCTTTATATTGGGTGACATTCCTAATTTGTAATAATAAATATGATTATTATATATAGACAATTCTATAATCACAAAACTAATTTATATAAACTTGTTTTATATATAATATATATAAACTATATTAAACATATAGAAATATATATTAATGCATATGTATTAAAATATTTACTTTAGATATGGAGGAATATTTTCTCTAAATGTACGATATCTTAAACCATCAGCTACAAGTAAAATTAATCTTTTCGCGGGTGCATTTTTTAAACCTGGTACAACTGGTAATCCTTGTATAATCGGTGAATGAAAATTTATATCCAAAACACCCCATAAAAACACAAAATGTATTATCAATGTCCACAAAACAAATATATATGTATCATATTTATTATAAGCATATGGATAGGCTTTTTTATTTCGTTGTTTATATTCAAAAATATTAAATAAACAAAATTTTAACATATTTTATTACTTATTAGGTACACGACTGATTTAGAATATTTATATGTATATATATTATTTATTAAAATTTCATTGCTATGTTTCACATAATTAAATACTTAATTATCCTATTTTTTCCCATTTTAATATTTAGATAGTAGTTATAATCTAATACAATTTCTATAGTATTGTACTTTTAAGGTTAAAACTTAACATTCGAACGAAGAAACAGTTTAATTGGAGTGCTCATGTGATAAGAAAACTTGCGCTTAAAGTGCTATTTTCATTGATTTGTTTTGATTTTAGGGTGGTACACAAACTATAAATGTATTAGCGGGAATTGTGTATATTTAATGTACACACACACACACACACACACACACACACATATATATATATATATATATATATATATATATATATTTGAATAAATAACAATAATATTGTTTAGATCAATATATTTATATTGTGTTCAAAAAAAAAGGTTCATGAATTAAATGCAGCAGTCATATTACAAAATTACTTTTACTTATTAATAATTTCATAAACAAGCAGCCATTAATCCTGCAACATTTTCAAAATCAATTTTTTCAGTAATGTTCTTTGTTTTTATATTTTCATCTTGATTAGCAATAAAAATAATTGATTTGCTTTCATCTTTCCAACCATACTTTTTTACCCAATGCTTTAACGTGGTATCTATAACAAAAAATGTGTTCATTGGTAGTTGACCTTAATAATTCATCATGTAGACTTATCAAGTTTATATTTATTTTTAAATTTAATTAATATTTTGCTGGTATTAGGATAAAAACGCAAAATATAAAATATCAAATTTGAATAAAATGCATAATTATTACATTAATATTTAGAAATTTTTATATATAAATATTAATAAATTTTATTAGTAAAATTTTAGTAAAATTATTAAATTAAATGAAACTAACCATCTACTCTACCTAAAAGTTGTACAAGAAGTCCTTTATCTATTGTCTGAAAAGTTATTCCTACGACATGGCAAACAAACTTCCTTATAGAATCTTGGAATCCAACAATTCTGTCACATAAATCAGACATTAACAAAATTTGATTCCAAAATTGTTCAAAATCACATTGTTCTAATATATCTCCTAAATACATGATTTGATTAATCGGTTTTTCTTGCATCTGTAAAGAATATTAATACATTAACTTAATAAAATCAACTTGATAAAATACTATTACAATCAGTTAAAAAATATTAAAAACTAACAATTGATTCGTTCAAAAGACATTTACATAATACAAAATCAGTGTGCGGAAGATTAGTTAATGCTTTAAGTAATATTTGGCAGGTTATATCCATATTAAAACGATGTGGATTCAATTGATATAATTTCAAAACAGCCAAATTAGCTTCCAAATCATAAACATTTTCTCTTGATTGAATCTCAACGTACTTTTCTAAAGTTGTCAGATTATCTGGATTATATCTAAATAAAAATAAATTGTTCAACATTACTTTGAGTCTCACACAAAATATGATTGTAAACAGATACATTGATTACAAAGAGATATATAATTTTTAACAATTATTTCTACCTTTCAATGCCTTTAAGCATCCCAGCTACAGTTTGTCTCATTGCCTCAGCCATTTTTAGTAAATATATTTTTAAGTGTACAATAAACACACGTTCACCACGTTTCCTGTTAATTGGATTTAGATCAACTCAGCGATTTAATTAAATTGCGAATTACTTTAGTTAGTATATTATAAGTATGCCAAGGTAACCTTATATTTATTATTGCTCTCCGATTGAATCGCTAACTACAGGCATATTTATGAACTAATTTTATCTATCGAATGACGTTTTATCGATACATGTGTATTTAATATTCCTGTTTAATCATGATAATAAAACAATTAGAAAAGTTAATTTTTATATAAATTGTATCGATTATATGATGATAAAAATTCTGAAAAACAATCAATGTAATACAATAGTAAACTTCGTAAAATTAAAAAGAAAGAAACTACATCATCGCCATATTTAATTCTTATATAAATGGCTATAAAGATTCTAGGGAATATTTGTAAATAATGATTACAATTATTTAAACAATTTGATAGTTTTACAGTTTTATGAAATAGTTCTATGGTACGAAAATTTTCGTTTGATATTAGGATCAAGGAGAAAAAAAATTATGTGCATAAATGAAATTTTTCTTTCGTTTATGTATTATCTAGATAAAAAACGTTAGGTGTACTACTGTTCCTACTTTTTCACTGTAAAATACATGAAAGTGCATCTATATCCTTATTCAATGAGCAATTTGTACAATTTAGACACTGTCGAGGAAGGTTAAAAAAGAGTACAAGTGTCAACAGGAGATGACAGGCGAGGCCATGATAGCAAATAGTGATGGTGCCGACAAAAGTGTATGAAAATAAAGCAGCTATATTGACAAATGTGCTTTTATGTATATATATTACTTTCAAAATCAATTAGAAAAAGTAAATATCATTGTAATAAAAATAAAATATCATTTTAAATAAATTAACATAAAGGAAAAATGGCTGATCAATGAAGAAGAAATTTACCAGTATGTTTTGTGTACATATATATAAATAATATTTTGGCTCGATTATAATATTTGCAATTAAAATATTCTTACGTATTCTTTTTTATCTCATAGAATCTCATTAATATACTTCTATAATACCAGAGTAAGTATACATCATTTATTTTTATATCAAATATTATTCCATGTTTCAAATTAAATTTGATTTATATTTTCATAATTGCAGGTTAGATGAATTAAACAAACGCATTTTCTGCATCATGTGGATGATCATAATACATATAATAATGTTGCTATAGTAAGTATTTTATTTTATAATATGGATATTCTCTCTCTCTCTCTCCCCTCTTTTCTCTTTAAAATAAAATATGTCAATAGATTATATATTAAATTTAATATTTAATTTATTGCAATATTATATGTAGTTAACAGTTACATATGTTATTTATAAGTAGGACATTGTATTAGACTTACACAATATGTCTAAAAACATTACTTAAAATTTATGTATTTGTTATATATACTTATGGAATATTATTTTTTTTAATACATTACAACTGCAATACTTTTATAATAATTATTTATTTACTTGATTAAATGCCGACTCATTATGAATATTAGCAAAAATATTATAAAATCACTTTTTAGTAGTTTCTATATATAGAAAATTTATCTCTTATATAACTAGCTAAAATAAATATTTTTATAATGTATTATTTTCTTGCAGACAGTATTGTTATATAAAAACTGTATAATTAATTACATAGTGCAATATTAAATTGATGTGGATCATGATTATTATGTTATTCACCAGTAGCGAGGTGAATGAACTGTGATGGAGTGGATCACTACCACTATAATATGTATTATAACATGGAGTTGCTTGATATGGGGTTTCGACTCAATTCCCCAAGTACCTCCAAAACAAGTCCCATGTGATAAAACACGGAAGGTATTCACAGAATCTTGGGGAATAATTAGTGATGGTCCTTTAGGCTCAAATTATACTCAAGATTCTCATTGTGAATGGCTCATTAAAGGTATTAACAAATAATTATATTGATACTTATTTATACATTAATGTCATTAATAATACATTTAAGTAATAGATATTAATTCTCATTTATTTTGTATATATAGTAACAATTATACATTATTTTTTAGCAAACAACAGTCATCAATTTATTACACTTAGTTTTCGTACAATGGGTACAGAATGTAGTTACGATTACGTTTTCGTTTACGATGGAGATTCTTTTCATTCTCCACTTTTGGGTAGTTTTAGTGGCAAAACAGAACCACAACAAGTAACATCATCATCTGGTTATGTAGGTAAATTAGAAATAAAATTTAAACGGAAAAAATTTATTCTTTATTAACAATTTATTGGTATTTTAGATGTTAATACTATTATATAGCGATACAAATTATGTTTTGGATGGATTTCATGCTGAATTTTCAGTTATGGATTGTCCTAACAATTGTACAAATCATGGAAAATGTATTAATAATACCTGTTTTTGTGAAAATGATTGGGGTGGTAAAGACTGCTCTAGAGCTTTATGTCCAGATAATTGTAATCATAATGGAATATGCGAAAACAAACGTTGTGAATGTCATAATAATTATTCTGGACAATCTTGTTCATTGCATTCAACTCATCCAGAAGGAAACAGGTTTATATTTAAATTTAGTATATAAATAATTTATAAATTTGTTATTTATATCTAAACGACGTTTATTATATCTAAACGACGTTTTATATATATTAATCTATAGATTAATATTTTCTGTTATATAGATGGCATTGGCTATCACATTCGGAAGGAGGTTTAAGACCACGTGCAGCTCATACAGCAGTTTATGTAAAGGAAACTGATTCTTTATATATATTTGGTGGCTATGATTTAAATTTTATACTTGGTAATTTAGAAGTTTATCGTTTTAGTACCAGCCAGTGGGAAAACGAATATGGTATAATATTGGGTAAGTACTAATATCGAACTATTATTTTTATTATGCTGATTATTATTCTATATTATAACACTTTGTAATAACTCTTATTTATGTTCTTTTTATTCACAGAGGGAGCATCATCTATGGAATATTTAGATCCTATGCTTATTGCGCACGAATTAGCACAAATAGGCGCAGATGCGGAAGAACAATATGGTCTCTCTAAAAAATCATTTATTTTGCAATTACTTAAAAGTATTGAAAATAATACATTAAGTCTACACGATCGTGCAGCTTCTGAAGCAGGGACATATAAATGGGATAAGTTTAATAATAATTCTAATCACAGAGAACGTGAAAAGAGTAATCAAGAAGGCAATGTAAGCAGAATTGGTACAAGTACAGTTAAAATTAGAAGAAATAATGATTTTGTAAAAACACATTCAGGTCACTTACGATCTAGATATTCACAAAGTATATCAGAAAGGTAAAATGATACGTTAATATTATATGTTTGTATTTTAGCTATATCATATATTAATTAATTAATTTATTTATTTATTGATATTTTTCTAAAGGTATCGCAGAGATTTTGAGAATATAAATTTATATAAAAAACATCATATCTCTAGAATAGAACAGAATGATGATGCAAACATAGAAAGACAAAGTACAAATGAAACCACAGAAGAAAATGTATTTATACAAGAATTTGAAGATGTCAATTTAACAACTGATGAAGCATATAGAGATACTGAAAAACAAACTGAAGAACTGAAGCCAAGTCCACGATATGGCCATGCTGCATGCAGATATGAAGGTTAGTTATTACACGAAATTTATTAATTTAATTAATTATTTATAAAAATGAAGAATCAATTTTTTTGTTACAGGAGGTTTTGTCATTTATGGCGGTAAAATAGAGGATGGGTCTCTGTCAAATGAACTTTGGCATTATAATGTTAATATGCGTATTTGGACATTACGCGCTAGAAATTCTACATTCCACCCACCTCGACTTACAAGACATACTCTTACATTGGTAAATGACTATATTTATCTGTTTGGCGGTAGTACAGTGGATGGAGAATTTTCATCTAGCCTATACAAAATTAGATTGAACTTTTGTAAGTTTATTGTATTATGTATTATTTATGTATTATTATGTATGATTTATTATGTACTTATTAAATTACCAGAAAGGTGTAAAATAATTCTAATCAACTTGCTTGTAGCTGATTCTACATTAATGATCGAAAAATGGCAAAAGGTACGTCCTCGTGGTGGAAAAGAATTAGATGTTCGTGTTGTTGCTCATTCAACTGTTTATCACAGTGCTACTAATTCTTTACTTGTTTATGGTGGAGTTGTAGCTAGCGTAGCACGTTTCAGTAAACTTTCAGATAGAATGTTTGTTTTCCAATTGGATAGAAAAGTTTGGTCTGAAATTCATTATCCAAGAGCACATTTACGAGATACTTATGTCCCTAGAGAGCGTGCGTTTCATACATGTAATATAATCGGTAATAAATTTCAAAAAATTGCGGTTTTTCTAAATCACTACTTTTCAGCATTATATTTAAAGTATTTTATTATTGCAGGTAATTATTTGGTTGTATTTGGTGGATATTCTCATAGACACAACAAAGAAGAAATTTGTTATGACAATCAAATGTATCTTTATCATTTAGGTTGTCATACTTGGGTTAGCCATGATGTTTTAGGATTAAATGATAAAGGTATAATTCATTTAATTTAAAAAATGAAAAGAGTTTATATATTCTATTTTGTATATATTATATCAATTGTAAATACACAGATTCACGTTATCCTAAGCAACAAGGAGTCTTTGCGCATGCTTCAGACGTACGTAATGGAAATACTTTATTATTAGTTGGTGGTTATCATGGTAATGTAAATGCAGATTTGCTTGCTTATACTTTACCGCCAATGCTTGCACCAGGAGATAATGATAATATAGAACCAGAACAGATTTGTGCAAGGCATAAAAGTTTGATGGAATGCGCTGCAAATCCAGAATGTGGATGGTGCTCCGCGGACGAAGTATATCATACAAATTTATTATTTTATTCTTTCAATGATAATTTAAATTATTTCTAGATTTATTATTTATATTTTGAATCTAAACTTTTAGATATGTTACGGAAGAACTATTGGTAGCAATTGTACGACGAATCTTCAAACTACACGTTGTCCTGGCGTTTGTCCTGCTTTGGGCGATTGTCATTCTTGTTTAACACATGGGCAACCTGGTGGTGGTTGGGGTAAAACTTCTCGTGGTAGAAATTCAGTTTCTAATAAATTAAATCTTGGAACTTGTACATGGTGCGTTCAGAATGCACGATGTCATCATAAGGATGATAATTATGGAGTTTGTGGACTTCGAGATGATACTCCTTCACAAATACCAGGTTGGTGGGGATCAAAGGGAACAGAAATTACACAGGTCGCAGAATGTCGGGAAATGGACAAAAGACCAGGTTTAACATTTTTAAAATATAAGCCTCCAGTTAATTTTAGTCAACCTGATTCTGTAACAATAGTCAATGCGACTACGGTTGATTTCAATGTGCCATCGATGCAAGGAGCAAAAACAGAATCAGCTTTAGGTGGAGAGATGATTGCTAGATTAACAGGTTTTTTGAGATTACCACCATATTTTTGGCACAGCACGATTGAGCATTTAAAAATATGTGTTAGTTATAATAGCGCAACACTTCATGTATCACGAAATGATGATTCACAAAAATTGGTAAATTAAATATATATATAATATTTATTTTATATGTATATATATATATAATAGGAATATGTATAATTAATATACCTTAAATTTTTAATATTTTTAGGAATTAGTTGCAAATTTAACCGCTGAAACATCACAATGCATTCCTACTAAATGGCCAGATGGACAACAAATGATATTGCAATCTGGACGTTATCTTCTTGATTTTGAATCAAAAAGAATGGTTACAACAAGTTATGCATATGCCAGTAAGATGGAAATTACACATAGTAAAAAAATGGAAAATCCAAAAGTTTTTACTTTCGAATATCTTGAACCATATCAAAATGGATCTTGTAATCAGTACAAAAATTGTCTTCATTGTTTGATAGATTCTTCATGCGGTTGGTGTGATATCACTAATAAATGTCTTTCACGTTCTATTAATGAAACAGAAAGTTGTGCAACTGATGTAGAAATAGATGAAAATGGCGATCCGATTCGTGAATGGCATTATTTAACAATCACCCCATCAGCTTGCTCAAATTGTTCCAATTATATTTCGTGTGAATCATGTGTTGGTAGCAACTTATGCGAATGGTGGACAGAGGAAGCTCGATGTGCAAGAATAGGTAGATTACCTAATGCTGTTGTTAGCATAGATCAATGCCCAATACCTTGCAGGCAGAGATCAAATTGTACACAATGTTTGGATGAACGTGGAAGATGTGTGTGGTGTGAAGCAACACAAGAGTGTTTTTCATTCTCTGTATATACATCAGAGTATCAATTCGGTTTGTGTAGAGAATGGATGGATCAAGCAGGTTTAATGGGAGTGACATCTAGATCTGGTTCATCATTGACAAGTAATGATCAATGTAAAAGTTGTAGCCGGCATACAAATTGTTCTAGCTGTTTACATTCATTGAGTTGTGGCTGGTGTTATAGTTTAGAAAATCCAATTATGGGAGTTTGTGTACAGGGAGATTTTAATCGAGCTCATGTCAATTGTAGTTTAATTATGAATGAATATCTAAACACTACTCTTGAAGCTGATGAGTCAGGATGGGCATATGCTCAATGTCCCGATGTTGACGAATGTGATTTAGGTCTACATGATTGTCATCCTAATGCAGTTTGTACAAATACACATGGTAGTTATAGTTGCCAGTGTAAACGAGGTTTTAATGGTGATGGCAAAGAAAATTGTACAAAAACATGTTATGAAAAATGTATTAATGGATATTGCAGTGAAGCACCTGATTATAAATGTGAATGCAATCTGGGATGGACTGGTCCAGATTGCAGAACAAATTGTGGTTGCTATAATCATTCCACTTGTCTTCAAGGACCAGGTATATGTGATGAATGTCAAAATTGGACCACTGGTAGATATTGTGAAGAATGTAAAGCAGGTAGTTATGGCAATGCCACAACAATAATGGGTTGTAAAAAGTGTAACTGTAATGAACATGGTGATAAAGATTTGGATATTTGCGATCGACAAACTGGTATTTGTTTCTGTCGCGATAATACAGAAGGTGATATGTGTCAAAGATGTAAAAAAGGATATTATGGCGATCCAAAAAATGGAGGAATGTGTTATTATGGTTGTATGTCTAGAGGAATGTTAAATGGAGAAGGAAAAGGTAAACAAGGCCTTGGTAGTAGACATTCACAAATGTCACCATGGGAAACTCATTTCGGCGAATTATTAACAAGGGAATGTTTATGGATTGTTAGTCCAAATAGCGATCTCTCGCCTAATACAACAACTTCTGGTATACAAAGTGTAATTCAGTTTACAATACAAGATGATATCAATATCAGTTGTCAAGAGAACAGTGTCTATGTATATGATGGTCTTCCTGAATTTGTTTCATCTTCCAGTAATCATCAAAATCAATTGGTTGGAGTTTATTGCACAGAAAGTACAGATTATCCTGTAACAGTAGAAGCCAGATCTGGATTTCTCACTGTTCACTACAAACAATTAGATGAAATTGAAGGATTTAATGCAAGCTATATTGTAATGACATGTGACAATTGTCCTAAAAATCGAGTCTGTAGAAATAATAATTGCTTGTGTAAAGCTGGTTTCGTTGGTATTGATTGTACTATCGAATTATGTCCAAATAATTGTACTTCATCAAGAAAACAAGGAATCTGTGATAAAGGATATGGCCGTTGCGTTTGTTCATCTGGCTTTGGTGGAAATGATTGTTCGATTAAAATTAAAGAACATCAACTGGTTTTCACAGAATTATTTAATTCAGAATATCTTGCTGATCATTTAGATCATTTAAGAAAAACCTTACCACGTTTTGGACATAGCTTAGTTGCTGATAGAAGGGGTAGTCTTTGGATGTTTGGTGGATATTCTCTCAGTCATGGGCCATTGAACGATATTAGACTTTTTGATACTAAGAATAATACATGGATACCTGTAACTGTGGACTCTACATCAGAAGCGTCAATGCCTCAAGGCAGATATTTTCATGCTGCTGAAATAGTTCATAGTAGACAACAGATATATGTATATGGTGGATTATCTATGAAAGAAAAAGATATTCCAGGCTTATCCAATAATACATTAGATGATTTTTGGAAATTTAGTCTTCAAAATCAAAGGTGGAGTCAAATTGTGCAAAATGAACTGAAAAAGGAACCACTACCTTTGGCAGGACATACATTAACTTTACGTAGAGATGGGGAATCAGAAAGTTTATTATTAATTGGTGGATTTAGTCCAAAATATGGATATCTAGATACTGTATGGGAATTTAATTTAGAAACGGAATCTTGGGATACGATAAGTACAAATGGAAATGGTCCTTTAGTAATTTATGGGCATTCAACAGTATATCATAGTAAATCTGATAGTTTTTATGTATTTGGTGGTTGTACCTATGTTATTAATAAGACGTTTATTTCAAATAAGCTTTATGCTTTAAATTATAGAAGTCGTAGATGGTCTGTATTACCACCATTTGAGGATGATTTCACTGATGGCAGCAGCTTAGTTAGTATTTATTATATTATTAAAATCTATATATATATATATATTTTACATATATATATATATATATATATTTTACATATATATATATATATATATATATATATATAATCATAAAATTTTAAAGGACTTAATAGTTATAAAATATCTTTACCGTTTATTACAGCCTCAAGCTAGATTTCTTCATTCAGCTGTTACAACTGAAGAATATATGGTAATATTTGGTGGTCGACAGAATCCTCGCAATACTTCTGATTCTTTAATAGCATATAAGTATTCATGCAATTTGTGGATTCGATTAATTACAAATGATATGGAAATAATTGGTAATCCACCACCACCATCATATGCACATGCTATGACACATGCAGATCCAGAATCAAATGCTATATATGTTGTTGGTGGTTTTGATGGTGGTATTAAAAGTCATGTTACTTTAATCAATATACCTGAAGACTTATGCAATCTTTGGACAAATAAAATTGCATGTAGAAAATATTTTGGTTGTTCCTTCTGTTCTGTTACTACAATTGTAGGAAATAATGCTTCTTTTTGTTTTTCCAATGAAGTATCACTTAATAGAGGCGATAAGTAAGTTTTCTCTTGTAAACAAATATGATTTATTACAATAAATTTGATGTCATTTATTTATTTTAGATGTGATATTAATGTGACTCAAGCACAAAGATCGAATGGAGTATTTTGCAATTCTGATTGGATGACTAGTAGAAAATGTCAGAACTTTAAAACTTGTGCAGAATGTCTAGCTGAATGGCCATATTATAAAAATAATGAACCTATTTGTAAATGGTGCACAAATTGTCCACATGGTAAATGTATACCACATGAAAAAATTTGTGATGAACAAAACAAGTGCAATGTCAGACAAATATCAATAGATGACGTTAAGCAATGTGGAGAATTGCAATGTTCAGCTAGTGATTGCGAAAAATGTAATACTCTTAGAAACTGTGTATGGACAAGACAAGTTCTAAAAACTTGTAAGTAGTATGATATTACCTATTATTTCATTGTGATCATAACAATTATTGTTACAGTATCATTTTTTTAGCTGAGTTAGGTGTGAAAGTAACAGGTGAACCTATATATGATTGGAATTGTGTACCAGAAGATATTTTCGAAAGATCAAGTATAAAAATGAGTAGTACTCAATGTGAAAAAAGATGTGCTGAACACAAAGATTGTAGAAGTTGTCTAAAGGGAACAGGAGCTGAAGGAGGTTGGCAACAATGTAGATGGTCTACACAACTTAATGAAGTTTGTATCATATATAACGTAATTAATATTGTATAAATATTAAATATGAGTAATACTTATTGAAAATTTACAGTGTATTTCACCATCATATCAACCACTTTATTGTGCTGGTGGAGTATGTGGATTAGTATTACGTAATTCAGATATAGATCATTGTCCAGAACCATGTTCAGTCTTTACACAATGTAGTACATGTTTAAAACATTCCCATTGTGGTTGGTGTTCTATGGATTCTGCTAATATAACTGGACAGGGTATTTGTACAGAAGGATCTTTAAAAGCACCTACAGAACATCCAGCAGGTGGAACTTGTGAAATGATTTATTATGAACAATTCTCTCATACTGAGCCACGTAAGGCGATCTTTTGAAAATAAATAAAATTGTGAAAGTTTTATGAAAGAACTACTGCATGTTATTGTTATAGTTTTGTTTTCATTATTACAGCAATTTTAACTACTTTATTTCCACATCGCTTAGAGTTTGTACCTCAGGACAGTGTTACAATGACTTTATCTAATTTTCTGGTGAAATCACCATTTTCTTGGCATTATGTGCGCTGCCCAATGGAGAATGAATGTTTAAATGGCCATCATACATGTTCACCAAAAAGTGAAAAATGTTTTGACTTGGATGAAGGATTTGAATGCATGTGTGGAGATGGATATAAAACAGAAACGTAAGTTCTTTTTTCTTTGAAGTATGATATTATTGTATGTATATTATATGAAATTATTCTTTTTTTTTACAGTACATGGTCATTTAATGAATCTGGAAGGTAAATGTCACATATTTCTTTTTTCTAATCACAAATAATTTATTTCAACATGAATAAGATTTTAAGATGTAATATTATATTTTCAGGAAAATTTGTGTGCCAACGTGTATGCAAGGTTGCGTACGAGGTACATGTGTTGAACCAAATATTTGTCGTTGTGATTTTGGCTATGTGGGTGCCAATTGCTCCATTCAATGTCAATGCAATGGTCATAGTAATTGTGCAGGACCAGATAAATTAGATGTATGTTTAGAGTGCCATAATAATACAATGGGACCTCAATGCAGTAAATGCTTGCCTTTATATGTTGGAAATCCTGCAGACAATGGACAATGTATACCATGCTTGGAATATTGTAATGGACACACACGTATTTGTATTAATGAAAGCATGACTGTTCCGGTAATATTTATATAGATATGGAAATTGATAGATAAAAATTGCACCTATTTTATATAATAAAAATAAAATTTTTTTAGGATCCTAATTCTGTTGACAAAATGTCCATAGAATTATTGAAAAGACAATTGGTAGAGGGTCCTATAGCAAAAGCTAAATGTGTAAATTGTGGAAATAATACAAAAGGTGATAAATGCGGAGAATGTATGGTGGGTTATTTCAGAGGAACAGAAGATTTACGTGATATTTGTCGTCCGTGAGTATTTTGCAAAAATAATATAAATATATATAACATTGTAAATGAAAAATATAATTTATTTGGATATTCGATATAGTTGTGAATGTCATGGTCATGGATTCACTTGTGACCCAGTGACCGGTGAAAAATGTAATTGTGGCAATAATACAGAGAGTGAACCATCTTGCACTAGTGGTCCTATGAAAGCTACAAATATGGGTGGTACACCATGTTGGATGGTTCAATGCAGTAAGTGTAGAGAAAACTATGCAGGAACACCAACTATGGGCCATCAATGTTATAAAACTGTTACAGTTGATAATAAAATGTGCTTTGACTCCAAATTAATAGGTAAGTTTATTTTGACCATATTTACCATTGTTTTAATATACTATTTACATTTTATACTTTTTATCGCGTTCTGCATTTAAACTTTGATCAAGTATTATTCTTATTGCAACTTTCTGTTCTCTCTGGAGGATTGTATGGTTCGTACACCTCCAATTATAAATTACCTATTTCGTATTGCCACCCTTTTCGTAAGATGTATATTATCGTAAAATGTATATTAATAAATTTTAGATGAGTGCAAGATGAAACCAAAACCATTGAATCCTGGACAAACTGTCTTTTATATGGTACAACCTCGATTTATGAATGTAGATATTAGAGTGATGGTTGATGTTACGCAAGGTGCCTTGGATCTTTTTTTAAGTCCTCGCGATGACTCATTCGTTGTAACATTAAACTCTTCTACAGGTTATCAAGATGTAAGTCCATTTTTATATTTTGGATTAAATATGTTATAGTTTTATATTTAAATTATTATAGGAAAGATATTATTTTTACTTTAGGTTGAATTGGATAGCAGATTTAAATGTATATATAAATGCAAAGATCCCCATGATACATGGTTAGAAGATCCACAACACAGTAAAATCAGGATTGTGGAATTTCATTCACGTAATTCTTCCCCTTTTGCAAATAATAATAGCACTGCAGAACTAAATTGGAATCAATTTCATTATATAGTAATAGAACGTTATGCAGAAAGCTTGGCTACATTCATGACGATCGAAAAAAGAAATACATTTTTAATAATCAGGAATCTGACGAATCGATTAGTGCTAACTCTACCACAAGATAAACATGAACTTGGCCAGACTAAATTTCATATTGCACTGAGAGCGATCGATACATATAATCCAGATGCTAATAATAGAGCTGCATATGGGATGATCTTTTTTAGACAAGATCAATTACATATTGATCTTTTTGTTTTTTTCTCGGTTTTTTTTTCTTGTTTCTTTCTTTTCTTAGCTGCTTGTGTTGTAGCATGGAAAACTAAACAGGCAGCTGATGTACGTAGAGCGCGGAGAAGACATGTCGTCGAAATGTTACATATGGCTAAGAGGCCATTTGCTACAGTTACTATTCTTTACGATCGAGATGGGAATAATTGTAGTCCAAGTTCACCACAACGCAAGAATAGACGTAATAGAGCTATAAGTTTTCATAATGATGTCAGACCAGTTGCAGTAGAACCAACTAATGATGGTGTTGCGGCTGTAGCTACAGTATTCATCAAACTACCTGGTGGGCAACAAGCTCCTGTTAAATTAGCTCTCGGTAGCTCATTAATACTTCTAACCAGGGTCTATCCGGTTAATAGCAGAGTGTTCCTAAGGCGTAGAAACAGTCATGCATAAAGTCAGGTTTGTATGGTTACAGTTTGTATGGTATGTAAATTAATTTTTTTAAAATCATTTTTCTTTGATATTATGGAAATCTCTATAACTGATTCAAATACATCATTTTATAACGCTGTATATTTTTCTTTTTTTGTAATTTTATGTATATTTTCATTAGAAATAATTTTGGGCATTCATTAATAATTATCTACTTTAACAAATGAACTCTAATATTGTATTATAATATATGAAAAATATATACATGAGCGGGAAGAAACTAGAATATAATATATTGTCACATCATTCCGAACGGAGACTGTATGTTTGTATATAATACTGTATAATTATGTATTAATTGATATCCAACATTTTTTGTAGAAATACATTTTACATTATGTGATACGCCTTAAATCATATACTCCTTGTCAATTGGTATTGCGTAATTTTACATCTTTTACTGCATATACTTTTATTGAATAATTAAAAGTTATTCTGTCTGCAATAAATGAATAAAAAGGTATAAATCAAAGAAAGTCATTCGATTACGGATTTCATTTAGTATTAAAATATGAAAAAAGTGGAAACACATTGTTTACATTCATAAATGTTTAAATTCAGTTTAGAAAATTTGCATACTATATTATGTCTTTCAATGCAAATATTTGTGAACTTTATTTTTTACTTTACAAGTAAATTGTATACTATAATGAATGAACAAAGTTATTGTAAAAAACAACAACATTCATATTGAATTCTTATATTTAAATTCCTATTATAATTTTTTTGTTTATATTCAAAATTGTTTTTTACTAATTGTTTTTTGATAATAATTTAATTATTAACATAAATATTTAAGATTAGTTTGTTTCTTAATAAATCAAATATATTAATTAATTTTAATTCTGTACACATTACTGTAGTAATGAATGTAGGATTTAAGCCAGTATTTGAGGCACATGATATAAAACTGTGCACGCGAAGATGTAGATACTTTATAAAAATTTCTGTGCCAAATTATAATTAAAATTTGTTAAATTCTTTGTATATCATAATTTATAATCACAGAGTAAGTTATCGTGATTAACATTAAAATAACTCATTTATATTTCTGATTTTATGAAGAAAATATTTTAATGTAAAAAATATATATCAATTAATAAGGGATACATTATATAATCAAAAATAATTTTTTATTATTTTCATAATTTTTTTTTATATAATCAGAAAAGAATGTAATTTTATTTATGTAAGTAATTTTATTATGTAGGTAATTTTAAATGCAACTTTCACAAATTATTACTTTGTATGGTGAAAGCTACAAAATTGTAGATTTTTATTAAGGATCTACAATCAAATATGAGAAAGCATATGTAAAAATTCATCATTTTTATTAATATTGATAAGATAAAATATGTAAAATCTAAAACACTAACTCCATTTAAAAATAATAAGTCAGGATTATATATTAATCAAAATATATACAAATAAAACATGAATATGTTAACACTATTTTAGCTATATTGCTAATAAGAACTGAAAAGCTACTACTAAGAGACAGTAGAACAGATATGCATAGCTAAGTATCTGCAATATCTATATGACTAATATATAAAAACTAATTACTCTCTTTGTTATTAAAAATAATACTCTTTCGTTAATTATTGAATGAACAAACGAATAATATAAACATATATATTTCTGATATGTTGAATCTCAATATCTTATATTTTTATATATCTTATTAACTTAGATTCATTATATATTATTTTAATATTTTTAGAATTTTTAATATATTTTTTTAGTAAGCAATTAATTTCTGGATTTTTTTATTTAAGTACTCATGTGATGTTATACAAAAAATGTAAGTTTTTAGATATTAACTGTCTGTTAAATATGTAAACATTTACACATGTTTACATATTTAAACTGAACAATTAAAACAAGTTTGCATCTTGAAAAATAATTTTAAGTTTAATTCATATTTCATTTTCTTATATTAATGAAAGTTTAATAATATAATTTCTTTTAAAACTATATATATTGATGTTTTGTAATATATTCAGAAAAAGAAATATGAATATACTAATTAATAATTTAGATTTAGTAAAAAAAACAAAATTTATACTTGAGTGTAAGTAATACATTTTATAATTAATGTTTGAAATATTGTATTGCCTGCTAGGCAGGAAAATAAAAATAAAGATTCTATCAAACAGTGATTCCCACATGTGTACGTATTCATTTTGATTTAATAAATATTAATAAATTTTAAATTTTATACTATGTATATGAATACACAATTGGTTATTTAAAATAATTATCAAATATATTTCCATTTATTTAACAAATATTGTTATTATACATAAATATTAGTCTAATATTAACAATTATTGCTAGAAACATATGCATTCACTTTGCTATGTACTAGATTTACTGTATTATTTTTTAATGCATTCATATTTTGACCAAGTGCCAAATATGATGGACCAGGATATATAATTTCAGCACTACCCAAACATATTTGACCAGAATATAGAACAGCATACTAAACATAATAATAGCAACTATTCGAAAACAAATAATTTATAATATCTAAAATGATGATACATTTAAAATAATAATGAGAACTTACTTGTCCTATTGTAATAGCCCTTAAAGGTTGGGAAAGTTGGATAATCAATTGATTATTTAATGTTTTAAATATTTTGCAACTAATTAGTGGATTTCTATGTTGAAAACGAAAATTACAAATCAAAATACGTTCGCTATCTGTTAGTTCTAGTGGTTCATTGACAATCCAATGTGGATTTTGAACAACTACAAGATCTGAGTATAAAGCTGGATGATTTGTTCCTTTTACCTAAATTAGATAAAAATATAATTTTTTTGTATATTCTAATATATTGTTATATATAAGTAGATTTATTTGTTAATACTTGAATATTAAAAAATTTGAGTATTCCATATCATATTACAATAAAAAATGCTTACTGCAGTTATAACATTTGTTTGAAGGTCTTTTTGAAATACAAAATATGCATCATCCAATCCAGATATTTTACATCTCTGACCAATGGTCCAATGATGAATACCTTGATGCTTTCCAATTATTTTACCATTGTCTAAATTAACAACATCGCCATCTTTATTTTCTATATACTATAAGACAAATGTAAAATTACTTTAAAATGTTTAACACATATTATGATAAACATTTACTTCCTCATTTGCAATATTCAATTAAATTTTGTATTATATATACCTCAGAAATAAAATGTTGAAATTCACGCTTTCCAACAAAACATATACCCATACTCTCTTTTTTTTCTGCTATTTCAGTTAATCCTGCTACTCTAGCAATTTTTTTCACATCACTTTTTAAATATTCTCCAAGTGGAAACATACAATGCCTCAATGACTGTTGTGACACTTGACATAAAAAGAAGGTTTGATCTTTATTAGCATCTAATGCTTGTAACATAAGTACATCTGAAAAAGACCACTGTAAATCACATATGTATTTAAATATATGCATATATACAGACTCATATTTATTTATGTGATAACCATATAATCTTTATATATTACACATATCTTTCATATATATATATGAAAGTTCCAACAAAAAATGCCCGCGAAGATCATTATGAAATCTAGTGGTTTTTTCAAAAAACACCGGAACAGGATAATTTTGAAGACAGGTCCTTATTTCACTCACTTTGGGGTAACTTCTAAAGAGAATGACAACCCCCTTAAAAATCTCAGATAACAACAGGAGCTGATCAGTTGAAAAATCTTTTAATTCTTTTTACAATAATGCCATTTTTTTTTAATTTTTAGCCAATAGTTTCGGGAAAATATATTTCGAATTTCAGGTTGAAAACAACTTTTATTTTATGAAATATTTAAAATTTGTATCGCTAATCTCCATATAGTAATAAAGTCTTAGCTCATTATTATGTCAAACATTCAATAATATATCTATCTATTTTATATCGGTGAATGTGTGGATTGGTATTTTGACTAACTAAATTACCGATCCACTCTTTTTACCAAATAATTTCACCGAAGAATCGTATTTTTATTTATTTGAGAGCTAGATTTATCCATTGATCATAAAAATTAAATATGATCTGAATACGAATCAAATATGATTCAATACAAAAGTAGCCCCAAACAATGGAGTCCTCCACAATATGCAGTTCTGATATGACAGTTTTTTCTGATTATTTACACCCTTTAATTTTTTTTCTATGAAGATATTTACAATTCAGAACATACGCTATCAAATCAGCTTCATTAAAAGAACTTCAGCAGCGCATAGTTGAAAAAAACCGTCAGATTACGGATATGCTGCAAAATATTTGATATAACTCTGAGCAAAGATTTTATTACTGCATAAATGTCGGCAATACACATTTTAAATATTTAATAAAGTTGTTTTCCACTTGAAACTTCGTATTTTCTCGGGAATTATTGACTGAAAATTTAAAAAATAGCACTGTAAGAGAATTAAAAAATCTTTCAAATGATATGTCACTTAATCTCCGTTGCTATTTAAGATTTTTAGGGAATTATCATCTTCCTTAAGAGTTTATCCAAAAATGGGTGAATTTATGATTATTTAAGGACCTACCCCTCTCAAAAACAAAATTGACCTGATTCGGTGTTTATCGAAAAAATCACTAGAGTTCATTATAATCCTTGTGGATACTTTTTATAGAGACACTGTATGTGTGTATATATATATATATATGTATCACATTTACCAGTATGTGGTTTAAAATTTTCAAGATAGGGTCCAAAACTAGTTTTTACATAATGTCCAGTTGCTACTGCATCTGCATGAAATTTAGTTTGTGCAATATGAATAAAATGATCAAATTTTATATTTTTATTACACAAAATATCAGGATTTGGTGTATAACCAGATTGATATTTCTCCAAAAGATTGCTATATAAAATTAACTTTGCATTATTCATTTTTAACAATTTATACTTAAAAGATAATATATTTATTTAAAAAATAGTAATTTGTAAGATTGACTATATATAATGCATATTATTATTGCTTTATTTATATTTCTTTTTACTAGTTCTGTTTATCAATTGTTATTATAATTAAACATACCTAAAAACATCATTCCAATATTCCTTGACAAAATTCACTTGAAATAATGGAATATCAAGTTTTTCACAAACTTTTTTGGCATCTTTATAATCTTTTTCAGCGAGACATACTCCTTTTTCGTTTAATATATCCCAATTTTTCATAAAAACACCCGTAACATTAAATCCTTTAAAAATTCAATCAGACAAAAACATTAAACGTAGAAAACAAAAATAAAAAATTAATTTATATAAGTATCATATCTAATAAATACTTACCTTTCTCTTTAAGTAACAATGCTGTCACAGCGCTATCTACTCCTCCAGATATACCCACAACAATATTTTTAAACATTTTTTATAAATATATATGCTATGTATATATATAAATATATATGTAATATAAGTATGTCCAATAAATAAACTTTTTATTTTTGGTTCATTAAATATTGCCTTAGTGAAATATTCTCTAAACACTTCTAATAAATGTAAAATTTATTAATTTAAATATTAATAAAATAAATTCAAACAATTATTAAGATAAAATAAATTATACAATGCAAACAATATTATAAATTATAAGAGCAATCATAAAATGATCGTACTGAATTTTTTAATTAAATCTTAAATTGAAAAATTATTTAAATAATCGAATGATCTAATAAGTCATATAATGATAATCATATTTAATAGCCGTGGTTAATAAACTTGAGCATATTATTACTAATAAAGACATGTGAACCGTAATATTTATAAGAAAAACAAAACATTCTAAAATATTCATCCATTTTATTTTTATCAAAGAGAAAATACGTCAATAAATGAAAATTCTTTGTTTGCTTTCTTTTTCAAAGCAAACGATGGATTAAATGATAGTATTTTGTTTAAAGGAATAATAACAGATAAAAATGTAATACAACAAAACAACGTTCATTTTATCTCATACCTATGTTTTATATTAATCTATTTCCTCTAATTGTTCATAATTGAGTCTAAACAAATTAGAGGTTAGAATTTAACGACGTGAACGCAACGTTAATATCGGTGCCATGTGGTACCAAGCGATGCACATATCCGCTAGGTGCCACTTTGTCAATGTTTATGGATAAAGAGAAGTCAAAGAAAAAGAGAGAGAAAGAAAAGGTACAAGAGCATATAACTTGTCGTTTTAGCGTTCAGCTGTATTCGCTTCGTATTTCGAGACTTGCGCGCCGTAGGTCAACCTGCTGAAACAAAGTTGACCAATCAACGGTCGGGTCTCTCGTCGCAGAACCAGTCAAGCTCGTTGACGGATACGTAATGTCTGCCAAATCGCACATTTACCGTGGCAATCCATGGTTCAGAGATAAATACGATGTGTTCGTTACTTAGTATTTAAATTGATAAAAAATTTTCATAACTGAACACGCATTTTTCCATAAACGCGCGTCATTTTTCATGAACATACGGGGTTTTGCGCAGTTTTCATGACCCACATTACGATGGGGAGTTCGCTCGCTTTTTGGAACAGCTGTTGGAACACGAAGATGGCGACTTCTCGGAGAGACGGGTGGGAAAGGGGAATGGGTCGACGCTTGGATATCTCGTGCGATGCGCACGCATCTTGGCGGCTTCGCCGCCACGATTACCAGGGCCGTGTCATCTTTTTTTCAAAGATACGATTTTATTGTCTTCATATATTCCAAAATAATATTAATCATTGCGATCGCGATATGAAGTAGACAATAATTATGATTATAATAACGATATATCTATGCATTTACTAACAAGAAATAAATTATTGTTAATCTTCCTCTCTCAATTTTTCTACAAAATTTGGACAAACTTTCGTTCTATAATTGTGACGAAGTTGAGTCATATCAAAGTCGAGTCAACGTTGGATGATCACGTCGAAATTGACGATGCATTCTCACATAAAAGCAAAACGTTCATTATTTATCGTCTTTAAATGCGGATCGCGAAAAGAAACATTAAATCTGTCAAAATATGGTTCTAATAATAAAAACGACGTTCAGGTATACTGTATTTCGTGCATGTTCAATTATCGTATTTGAGAAATTAATATGTCATAATTTTTTGTTCTTACATTAAGTTCATTAGTAGTAAATATTAAAATTTTGTTTCATTAAATTTGCTGAATTATCTAGAAATAAGTTGGATATACATATTTTGAGGCTACGCAATCTTTAGAGGGATAAATCCATACGAGAAATGATAAATGAAGAAAAAGGAGTGGCAAAGATGAGAAGGGAGTGTTAGCGAAAGGGGCAGAAGTACTTCTATAACGGCTCGAAGTACACTAGCCGCATACCCGATGATACGCTCCTGTACGAGTGCTCCTACTCCTTTTCGATATCCCCCACCATTTGATTCGTCAACTTTCCCCGTCCCGCTAGGCGGCCAATCGGTTCCTTGTTTGCCATACAAAATCCAATAGTTTGCCTTGTACCTTCGTACAGTGCGGGTATGTTTTTCGCATTTTCTACTATTTTCGGCGGATAGCGCGGTAATTCTTTCGGTAGCTCGACGTGTAATTGCGAAAATGTGCATTCTCTCGTGTCTGTTTACGCACACAACGCGATTTCGATGGTTCTAAGAAAGTATAAAGAGAAATAAGCATTAGGGTAGGAGGTAGAGGCAGAAATTCCGGTTCGATTTCGCGAGAGAAGACCGGACGCCCGTCCTTCGTACAAGAGGAGCAAGAAAAAGAAGAAAAAGCAGCAGAAAAGAAGCAAAGAGGAGGAGGAGAAGGAGGAGGTGGAGGAGGAGGAGGAAGAGGAAAAAGAAGAAAAAGAAGAAGAAAGCTTCTCTCCGGTTGGTTTGATAGAAATAAAGAGAAAAAAAACTTTCGCTTTTTACCGCACACTGCGACAACGACAACGACAACGACAACGACAACGACGACACGATACGATACGAGACAGCTACGAGGACAACGGCAACGGCAACGGCAATGATGATATCGTCTAAGTCGACGTTGACGACGATGGTGCGGTGGCGGCCTGGGAAAAGGGTTCTTTTTACGTGTTGGTAGTGCGTGTTGCCTCCGGTATCGCGGGAGAGACAAGGAGGGAGAATGGGATATGAAAGAGAGAGGGGGGAAGGGGTATAGAGAGAGAGAAAGCGTGTGTGCATACGTATGTTCTATGTATCTATGTACGAGAAAGAGAGAGAGAGAGAGAGAGAGAGAGAGAGAGAGAGAGAGAGAGAGAGAGAGAGAGAGAGAGAGAGAAGGCGACACATAAAACCAATATCCCTCGTCAGTACGCTATTCGGGAAAATGTGTTATGTATTTACGTGGAATATTGCGTAACACCGTGGACCGGGAAGTGTTTGAAAACGCATGCAACGCGCTGACAAGACTCTCTGTTCGGCTTGATGCGCTTCCTTGGGTGTTTCGCGAAAATCAGGGCCGTGCGCGTCTTCTACAGCTGGCTGTCTACCGGCACTGTTCTTGTTACTTCTCCTGTTACTCGTATATCGTTTCTTTTATAATGAGTTTCTTCATTTCTCTGTGTTACTATAGTTTATGTTACTTCTTTTATTTGCGAGCATACATACCTGTCATAAGAGAGGAAGAGAATAGGAATTTTATATATTAAGAGGAAGGGAAATAGGAGAAATGTTTTGAAGAAAAGGCGACAATGAAGATAGTATCGATAAATAGCTAAAGAATGTATAGAGAGAGAAAAAGAGAGAGAGTAAAAGGATAACGTACGTACCTCTCATTGAATCAAAGAACAACCGTCATTTGCAATATAAGTATTGTCGACGCAAAGAAAACGTTTGCTTATATTTTTCTCTCTCTTGTGTCGAATTCAAATTAGCTCTCTCTCTCTCTCTCTCTCTCTCTCTCTCTCTCTCTCTCTCTCTCTCTCTCTCTCTCTCACTCTCTTTTCCTTTTTTCGAATTACGTACACGAGATTCACAGCAAGAGACCATGCTGAATGAAAATTCGTAGGTATCTACTTCTTTCTCCTTTTTGTATTGGAAAGATTTTTAAATTTCCAACGATCATAGTTTTCTGGACGTTTTAGAGTTTTCTCTCCCTTCTCTCTCTCTCTCTCTCTCTCTCTCTCTCTCTCTCTCTCTAGCTCCCTCCTTCTCCCTTTCTCCCCTCCCTGTTTCTCCCTCTCTTCTCTGTCTCTCTCTTTCCTTCTCTACGAACGTCTTCTTCTATTTCCACCACGCGAGGTCACGCGCGATAAGTAAGTTCTTCTCGCGTAACTCGTAGGCGAAGAAGGTGCAGAGAGGCAGAGTGGAGTTCTCTCTTTCTCTTTCTCTTTGTATATCGGTGTTCGCCGCCGCCACCGCCGCCGCCGTCGTCACCGTCACCGTTGTTGCCGCTGCCGCGTGTCGTAGGTTACGAGTTAGATACTATGGCTACGATTATTTTCTTCGAAGGAGGAAGGAAAGAAGAGAGACGGAAATGGAGTGGTAAGAGAGAATACGGGTAGTTGAGAGAATACGGAGAGGAATGTCGTTGCGAAGCGTAGAAGACAATCGACACAACGCCGCTATTTCGCTTCGTGAATGAAGCAGAAAGAAGTTTGCTCTCTCTCTCTCTCTCTCTCTTTCTCTCCCCCCCTCTCTCTCTCTTAACTTTTTTAGTGGGTTTGGAGTAAGGTATGTACGTCGAGATCGGGATTAACGAGTAGTAGCCGTGTTTCTTGTTCGGCGGCTCTTCGATTCGTTCGTTCGTCCGTCCGTCCGTCCGTCCGTCCGTCTGTCCGTCCATTCGTTCGCTCGTTCGTTCGCCGCGTCACGACGGAACGACTCGAGCATGTGTGTTGTGAATAATGGATGTATCGGTGGGTAAGGCGCGCTTCCTCGATATCCTCTTTGCCACCATCATTTTATTCCTTTGCAGCAGTATATTCTCTTCTTGTTAGTTCGTTTTTTTTTCTTTTTTTTTTTTTTTTTAAATTATGCTCTCGAACAGCATCGAAGTATGTTTGTTAATTATATTTAATTCAAATTCAAAACGTCAAACCGTTTTCGATAGAAAATTTAATTTATTTTATAGAAAAGCGATGTGAATTTATTTTATGAGAATCATAAGAATATAATTTTGTTTGATTTTCAAAGGTATTAAACTAGAATTGAGCGATATAATTTAACGCTCGATATCGATCCATCGAAGCTCGCCGTAGTTTCGACCTTATCACACATGTAACACCATTATTAAACGCATCGAATTTCGCGGCTGTACGCTCTCCGCCACACCACACTGCTACCAACAATATTACCAACACCACCATCATCTCTATCCCCCGCCACTACACTACCACCACCATACCACCACCATCATCATCATCATCATCATCATCATCATCATCATCATCATCATCATCATCATCATCATCATCATCATTATCATTATCATTTTTTCTCGCTGCCGTGAACATAGCGAAAAACATCGCTCAAGCCTAGCAGAGAGCGAGCATACGGCTGAATAACTAAATCCCATCGGAGTGAATGTCACTTTGGCGCAAAGTATAGTGACGCGCGAGTGAGCGCGCGCATTTATATACGATCGTGTATGTATATGCGCGCACCCGTGCGTATATACCTATCTCTACCTACCTATTTATCTATCTATTTATCCTACCTACATACGTATGTAACGTATTGCGCGCGCACATATATTTACGTGAAACAATCCTATGCTTTCCGTGGATATGTACGTGCATGTGTAAATCGTCATGTATATTCCGGTACGACGACGCAATGAATTTGTGAGGTTAGATTTTAAGCTCATGTCTGTGATACGTCCGTTTCCCTCGAAACGTGAAAAGTGAGATTTCATCTTATCAAAGGGATTATAAAAACGTAAGTTAGTCGAGAAGAAAGGAAGTTATAGAAAGAATATAGAAAGTGAAGAATGAGGAAAACGTGTTGTGTATTCCTCTTTTATACCCACAGAGAGACTACATACGTCGCACATTTTTTGTTTTTTTTTTTTTTTTTTTTTTTTTTTTTTTTTTTTTTTTTTTTTTAAGTGTTACATTTATTCTCGTGGCACAATGTTTTTAAACTGCTTTTAATTGCTTTGTCGTTATTATGGTGGATTATCTCTATTAAATTAATTCTATTTTCATCGTATACCTTATTGAAGTTCTTCTGTAGTGTTGGTAGTGTCGTGGTAGAGGTGGCACCAATCTTACCGAGATGACTTTCTTATGTCTGCTGCTGTGTGAGCATTTAAGGTTATGGCGATCTTATTCGGAAATCGCGTTTTATTATCAATACTTTTAATATTTGATAATAATTAATATATATGTCGAAATAAAATATGTATTTATTTGTATTTGATTTTGTGAATAATTTTATTTTTCTGAGGTTTATCATACTTTTCATAAATAACGTAATATACGAGTTAAAATTATATGTTCACTGTGTTTGGACGAGATATTTCATTTTCTTGATCAGAAATATTATTTCTTTCTACACTTATATATTTTTATAAGATAAAAGAGTCATACCAATATGCTTCGTATAATCTCATCATATCCTTTTATACCAGTATTTTTTAATTAAAACTGATGTCTATCTGTTATTTTTAATCGAGTTTTGAATCGTAGATTGAATGATTTTGATAATTTAAAGTTTCATTAATTAAATTTCGCGCCTTCGAAAATCCAATCGAATTGTATCGAATTCGAAAGGACGAGTAGTGATTGGCTTACGAATCGATTCGTATTACGATAATTATTTCGAAATAAAAAATGGAGTTTTTATCAGGATGAAAGTTTCTTGATTACACGAAAAAAGAGAGAAATTCGCATTGTAATTTACATTTAAAAAATTAGTTTTTTGGGTCGTTGAATTACAGTGTAATAAGTTATTCCTATTGCTTATCTTTGTTGCTTTACTTTAAAAATATCGCATTTGTTAATATGGAATTACATTTGATGAAATTTCATTAAGACAATGATACATCATACATTTTATTTTATATTAAAATTGAATATTTGTATTGTTAAATAACAAGATAAATATAAATGATTACAAGTTTCAACGAACGTTGTTCTGTGCGATGGAATTAGATGAAAAATAAATGTAAAAAAAAATATATATATATTAATATTAAAAATTCAAATGAGAAACGCGGAATACTTGAATAACTGCACATTTTGATTTGATATACGTATTATCATATATAGTTGGAAAAAATTATAAATACATTTTTTACAGCCTCCCCTATGTGATTTGCAATGAAACGCGTTCGCGGGCTGGACGAGGTAGCGTCACCAGCAGCAACGTTAAAACCCTCGTCGGTGAGCGGAGGAAGTGGTCTAAGCGGTGGTGGAGGTTTAGAGTATCACTCAAGTAGCGGAATAGGCGTTGTTGTACCTGGTCAAGCTGTTCGATCTGTTACTTCAAAGGAAATGCCGGGAAGTATACAATTTGGTACCGCCCAAGCTCAACAGCAGTATACCGGTGCGATCGTTGTACCAACGGCTACACCATCCCCTATTAAAGTATGTTATATTGTCTCAATGTATATGAAATCGTTATTTTGATAACAATCTTATATAAACCTAATTATCACTTGTAAGATTTTGTAAATGAAAACATTGTATACTTTTTTTTTTAGGGAACTGGATCTACAGGAGGGCTTAATTCTACATGTAGTGGTACTAATGTAAATACTGGTGGTGGGTTGCACGGTGGAATAAGTAGTGGAAGTAATCACAATATGGGCTCTCAGCAACCTACAACAGGATCGCAAACACAAGTTCACACGCAACAGCAGGCAGCAATAAGGCACAAGGTCTGTATCATATATATTATAGACTTCAGCAAGCATTTGGTATAATGTAACATATTTCTAGGTACATTCGAGCAATGTAGCGCCATTGGCATCTACACCTCCAGGTCCTGGATTAGGCAGTGGGAGTGGATCTCAACAATTTCAAAGATTAAAAGTTGAAGATGCATTATCTTATTTGGATCAAGTGAAGTACAAATTCAGTGATCAACCACAGGTTTGAATTTTATTTTTTGTTTTCTATGTGTTAGATAAGTAAATATTATAAAAATAATATTCATTTTTTTATTCTTTATAGGTTTATAATGATTTCTTGGATATCATGAAAGAATTCAAATCTCAGAGTATTGATACCCCAGGTGTTATTACACGAGTGAGCCATTTATTTAAGGGACACCCTGAACTCATTGTTGGTTTCAATACTTTTCTACCACCAGGCTACAAAATAGAGGTACAAGCAAATGAGCAAGGGTATGCATTCCAAGTATCAGTTAGTATGCCTAGTCCAACTGCTACTCATACAGCAACGTTATCGCAACATCATTGTACGGTGAATGTTGGTTCACCACCTGTAGCAAGTCCGCCAACACAACCAGCAAAAGCACCACCAGTTTTGCAAATAATGCAAGGGTAAGAAATATAACATCTACAAGTTTATATGTGTTCATACGGAAAATGTTTTACCTTGTTTTTTTAAAATTATATATTTTTAGATCTGGAAGCATACATCATGCCTTAACAAATAATATTTCCAATAGTAGTATAACGGTTCATGCACCGTCACCGCCACCTATTCAAGCCTACAACAATTCTCATGTTAGTGCTGCACAAGCTCAGGCAGTAAGTCAAGCTCTTAGTCAAGCTCAAGATGGTATTCCAACTAGTGGTCAAACGCAACAAAGTCAACCTGTGGAATTTAATCATGCTATTAACTATGTTAATAAAATAAAGGTTTGTTTTATCTTATACATGATAATAATATATACATGATAATGATAGAAAAATAATAAATTATATTTGTAGATTAAAAATTAAAGATTAAAAATATATGTTACATAAAATGTTTTTAAAAATTTTAGAATCGCTTTCAAGGACAACCAGATAAATACAAAAGGTTCCTAGAGATACTACATACTTATCAAAAAGAACAACGCAATTTGAAAGAATCAGGACATATAAGTGGTACAAGTGGTGGTAGCGCTGCTAGTAACGTAAAACATTTAACAGAAGCTGAGGTTTATAGTCAGGTTGCTAAATTGTTTGAAAACCAAGAAGATTTACTTGCTGAATTTGGTCAATTTTTACCGGATGCAACTAATCAGCAGAGTTCGTTGGTGAGTCCTGTGATCGAAAGATGCATGCTATATAATGTACGTATAGATAAAAATCAATATTAATTTTTCCTTTTTCGTAATCATTGTTTGTTATAATACACAAGCAATTTTGTTTAATTATTAATATTAATCAGGACTAGTCTGCTATGTTTCAGAGTAACAAGACTGCTCCAGTAAATGATCATACAGCAATAATAAAGAAACCATTGAGTCTTAAGGCGACTTATAACAATTCTGCTAATGTTTCACGAGATCTTCGGGAATCAAGTGGCACTTGTATATTGGAGCGTGATAGCAGAGATCACAGGGATCGTGATCGTGAGAGGGATAGGCCAGGTGTTCGAGAAATCAGTACTGGTCAAAAATTGGGTCACAGTACAGGACAGCTAAAAAGAAGTCCATCATTCTCTACTTCTGTTACTGGTGGCAATTCTCATATTCAACATGGACCACCTCCATTAAAAAAACACAAAGTAACATCAATGCGAGATGTTACTATAGCAGAAGCTGGAAAATATGGTACATTGAATGACTATGCATTTTTTGATAAGGTTAGTATCTTTTCCTTTTTTTTATTTAATATGTAATTTTTTATTAATATTGTTTTATTATAAACAAGAAATTGTATATATATGAATTATGATTTATTTAATATATTTTAGGTTCGTAAGGCTTTGAAGTCACAAGAGGTTTATGAAAACTTTCTTCGGTGTCTTGTACTTTTTAACCAGGAAATTGTTTCTAAATCAGAATTGTTACAATTAGTTACACCATTTCTCGGTCGTTTTCCGGAACTTTTACGTTGGTTTAAAGATTTTCTTGGTCATTTATCTGATTCTTCCAATACGTCAGCAAATAATACAGGAAGTAGTATAGGAGTCGAAGCACTTCCAAATAATGTAGCGCGTGGTCACCAAGAACGACCTCAGGGTGACTTGGCAATGGAAATTGATTATACAGCATGTAAGCGATTAGGAGCTTCGTATTGTGCTTTGCCTAAGTCTTATGTACAACCAAAATGTACTGGTAGAACGCAATTGTGCAAAGAAGTTTTAAATGATACATGGGTATCATTCCCAACTTGGTCAGAGGATAGTACATTTGTTACATCGAGGTAAATATAAAATCTGAGGTATTTGTCTTGATATAATTTTTCTGTTTTTGTTTTTAAAAATGTAAAACTACCATGTCGTTTAACAGAAAAACACAATATGAGGAATTTATTTATCGTTGTGAAGATGAACGATTTGAGTTAGATGGCGTGATAGAAACTAATGCATCAACTATTAGAGTATTAGAAGGTGTTCATAAAAAAATGAATAGAATGAGCCAAGAAGAACTTCAAAAATTTAAACTCGATGATTGTCTTGGAGGTTGTTCTCCCACAATACATCAACGAGCATTAAAAAGGATATACGGAGATAAAGCTGCTGATATTATAGAAGGTCTTAAAAAAAATCCTGTAGTTGCAGTTCCAGTCGTTTTACGACGCTTGAAGAGTAAAGAAGAGGAATGGCGAGAAGCTCAGAAAGGTTTTAATAAAATTTGGAGAGAACAAAATGAGAAGTACTATTTGAAATCTTTAGATCACCAAGGTATTAATTTTAAACAAAATGATGTGAAAGCTTTAAGATCCAAAAGTCTATTCAATGAAATTGAAACTTTATATGATGAGGTTAGTATATCATATAATTATTTTGTTGTATTATTTTGTAAATAATATATTATAAGGTTACTACTGATTCTATATATTTGATATTATCTTATATTTTATGGATATTGAATTTGCTATTACAATTTTTTTATAGAGACATGAACAGGTAGACGATGGAAGCGGTGATAATCAAGGAAATAGTGGTCCACATTTAGTGTTACCTTATAAAGACAAATCTGTCTTAGATGATGCAGCAAATTTATTGATACATCATGTAAAACGACAAACTGCTATTCATAAAGAAGATAAACAGCGTATAAAGCTTTTACTTAAGCATTTTATACCAGATCTCTTTTTTCACCCACGCCAAGAGCTTAGCGATGATGAGAGAGATGAAGATGGTAGATATACTTTTAAATATATGTATTTTAAAAAGGAATAAATAATATTTATATATATACTTATTTCTTATCTTGTATAATATATATATATATATATATATATATATATAAATTATATATATATTATATAATTTCTTCATTATGTTATTTATATATACATAGTTTAATATTTATATATATTTTTTATATAAATTGAATATTTTATTAATTTTTTTAGATGACAAAGAGGATGTGGGTGTGGCAGCATGTAGTAATTCTCAATCTGTAACCATGTCTACATCGCCACATGGCGGTCTTCAAGCAAATAGGAGTAAGGCCCCACTTTCCCCAGTCCTGTCTTCCACTTCAGTTAAAGTCGAACCTGATATCAAAATACCTATGCATGCCCTGTCAAATGATCCTGAAGAGGCATATACTCTTTTCATGGGCAGTAATAATTGGTACCTCTTTTTGAGGTTACATCACATCCTCTGTGAAAGATTAACTAAGATGTATGAGAGAGCGGTAGCCCTTGCAGAAGAAGAGTCTAGATACAAACAGCAACGTAAGGAGAGTACTGCTGTGGCTCTCAGGTTAAAACCAAAAAGTAAGCAAATAATTCTGTCCTATTCGAAATAAATTTTTAATTATTTTTATTTTATGACATTATAAAAATATGTGTTTTTTATTTAACATAGATGAAATAGAAATTGAGGATTACTATCCTGCCTTTTTGGATATGGTGAAAAATGTTTTGGATGGAAATATGGAGAGTACAGCGTATGAAGATACCTTGCGTGAAATGTTTGGTATACATGCATATATTGCCTTTACTTTGGACAAAGTTGTGACATATGCTGTGAGACAAGTATGTATACCCTTAGGAAACTACTATTTATTATTTTTTTTATGAGTGATCCTACATTTTTGTTATCTCCTGCGGAGTATTTATGCAATAAATGTTTGCATCTTTTTTTGTATATAACAGCATTTTTATCTCTACAATATATTTAATGTTAAAATAATATATAATGTAATTTCTATAGTTGCAGCATTTAGTGTCTGATCCTATATGCCAGCAATGTATGGAGTTATTTCAAAGAGAACAACGTCAGCCAAAAGAAAGTAGTGGAGCTGGTGGATTATGTGTTACAGCTTATATGAGGCTTGGTGCAGAGCTTTCATATCAACGTAAGGCAGAAAAAGCAATGGCTGATGAAAATTGTTTCAAAATATATATAGTAAGTAGAAATTTTGTGATACATGCGAATTATATTATTACAAAAGTATATTTTCTTTAAATTAAAGTTTTATCAATATTTGTTTATACTATAAAAAAAAGGTTTTTTTTTTTAAACAAATTATATATATATAGATTTTTTTTATATAAATTATATAATTAATTATAAACTTATGAATATTTTCAGGTATTTTTCCTATATTACCCTTTGTCATTTCGTATATATGATTTGTATATTATTACAAGGTATTATTTAAAATTAAAATTTTTTTACAGGAATAAAATTAATCAATACAGCTAATTTTATTGCAAAAATTATGAATACTTTTATGATCAATAATATTTCATTTCATTTATAAATTAATTGTTAATAATATTTATTTTTACAATTTTACTTACATGCAAAGTGTAAATTTATTATTATATCTGAATTTTTGTATACTGATCTCAAGTAGCTATATAACAATTATATTATCTTATTATCATCTATTTATAAAATATTTATTATAAAATAGTTGTTTTTTATTACAGTATAAAAAGGATTGTAAAATGACAATGGAACTGTTGGATACAGAGGGTGATGAAGCAATGGACAGTGGTTGTAGAGAAAGAGAAAGAGAAGGAGTTATGGTATCTGAGAAATGGTCAACATATGTGGAGAGGTTCTCTGCTCCGCCTGGTCAAACTAGCCCGAAAGACACTTCTGCTGTGGTAGACAATGAGCCAACGACCAATCATCCTGTGAGTAGTGACCAGGCAGCAAGGGGGGTTCGGGGCAGAAAGCGCAAGAACACTGACATTAGCAAGAAGGTATAGGATCCACATCCCTTTTCATAATCATTGCCAACGTTGAAGTTTACATTCACTTGTATTTTGATGTCTGTGATCGGAGTTGTACCGTTATCGGTCAGTTTAAAAACAGTGCCCCAAACACAACAAATCTATTTTAAGAAATTAATATTTTCTTTTTCTTTTTATGTTAGAGTTTAAAAGGCAAATTAAAAGTTAATTACTAACCCAAGAGTAATAATAATAATAATAATAATAATAATAATAATAATAATAATAATAATAATAATAATAATATTAATAATAAAAATATAATAATAATAATAATAATAATAATAATAATAATAATAATAATATTAATAATAAAAATAAAAAATATAATAATAATAATAATAATAATAATAATAATAATAATAATAATAATAATAATAATAATAATAATAATAATAATAATAATAATTAGACATCTTCTCGGGAATTTGCCTTGAAGCAGTTACTGTTGATTTCCCACAAAGTGGGAAATGCTTTTAAGAAAATTTCAACTGACATAACTTATATTATGTCATCACTATAAAGATATTAATACTATGGATGGTTATTTAGAATTTTCTTATTTTATGTAAATTATCTGTATAGTACCAGGGTTTTATAAATCGTAGGGTCTGATATCGCGAAATCTCTATATATAATACGTATATCATATACGTATACATATATGACGTACTAAAAAGTTTTTAAATCAAAGAAAAGCAAAGCTTATACATACATTTATTTTCATAATGCTCAAAGACTTTTAGATAAATACGGTTTTTTACCATGGATTGCAATGTGGTGCTGCAAACAATGTAAAATGCTGTGAAGTAGAGAAAGTCCCCTCTTTTTTCTTTTTTATTTAAATATTAAAAGCATAAAATTGATATAAAATTAACGGTAAACTTTATTTTAATGGAAAGTATCATAAAAACGAAATAATGTGTTCTTTTTTCACATTGAAATATTTTTAAAAAGTCAGCAGTACATACTAATATATTTCTTTTTTTGTTTTTTGTTTTTTTTAATTTTTTATTTTCTTTTTTTTTTCTTTTTTTTTTTCTTTTTTTTTTTTTTGTTACAATGTTATAGTATAGAAAGAGTTATTTACTGTTCATAAAGAAATTTTATTTAAAAAAAAAATATAATTATTTTACAATTAATATTTTCCATAATTTTATTTAACGTTTAAAAGCAATATTCATGCATTGTCTGTTGCAGCATGTGTAAAATATATTAAAAAAAGAAAAAAAGAAAAAAAAAAAGAAAAGAAAAAGTAAAACCATTTATATAACGTTATAATTAATTTATAAGCTTTCTTAAGCTTCCTTTATTATCACTTCATAATTATAATTGTGATAGCTGCATAATAGTACTTATAATTAATCTGTAAAGAAGGTAGAATATTCGTTAAATTTACTATTTTGAAGGAAAAAAAATTATATGATAGACTTCAACATTGCCTGTGGACATTGTTGTACAGTCATGGTATGTATTGTCATGTTTGACACATGATATTTAGTGAAATTGTCCAAAATAATATCAAAATTGGCTCAACGAAATGAATAGGGAAAAAGTCTCGTGTATATAATTATGTATCATGTATCATCGTATACTGTCATCGTTCGGTCGTCACTCATCGTTGATATTGCCCTTCACATTCATTTAGAAATGAATACGGTTAGAAGGTTGATTAACTATGGGTTAAAGTAGCAGTATTCAATAATTAAATAACGCGTTTGCGTAATTAGGGTGTATGCATAGCATACGAATTAACATCATCTGAGCAGTGCCATAATGAGTGTAAAATATAGTGATATATAGACACATACATATATACATACGTATGTGTGTGTGTGTGTGTGCGTGCGTATATATATATATATATATATATATATATATATATATATATATATATACTCATATAACATTTGGTACAGTCAATTCTTAAAATTTCTTTTATTTTCTTCTTATGACACTGCATATATATATTATATAAGATAATATTAGAAAATATAAATACTACTTTGTGCTCTAAAGAATGTAAATATTTGATCACATGAATTTGTATATATGTTTTTGATACGCAGCTTAGGTCATTTGATAATGCATCTCTAATTTGTAAACCATATTTTCACTATCACGATCAGTCATATATATAGTGAAGCCTTTGGAAACAGATACATGAATATTGAGTTTCAAATATATCATTTTCACATTGTATTATGCCATGCATGTGTATGTTATATGCCATTTGCTTTAGATTAAATTTTTTGTTACAATTATATAATAAATTTAGTACTTAAAAACGATATAAACACGATAATAAATTTAGTACTAAAAAAAGTTCGTTGCTAATATATTTTCTTCACATAGAAAATTGATATAATTCGTAAATGTGTTATAAAGTGATAGAAAAATAATATTTAAATAAGTAATTAATAAAATTTAGATCATTTTGATGAAATTTTCATCAGTGACATGTTTATATATTGGCAAAAGTTATAAAATAAACTTGCGCATGCTCGTTCCATCAGATGTAGTCGCGATGTAAATCAAATTTAACGAAATTATTGAAAGGGAAATCGGGTGATCAAAGTCTGTCTGTATATGGAATGAGTATGTGTGCATATACTAATTTGGGCATAAGCTTTAAATAAATAAACATACAATTGTGTGGCATGAATCAAGTGTGTATAAATTTAATCATTGCGCCTTTGCTGAATAGGTGTGTATATGATATTTTTTGCTGTGTACATAGTAATATGTAATTAGTACAGCACAGATCACATATGTGTTGTAACATGCAATCAGAAAGTTGCTTACATGCTTACTGGATCTACAATATTAATTATGACAAAAAAGCTGCAAAACAATGCATACATATCACATCATTATCTAATGATTTACCAAAGGCTTCACTTTCTTATGTAGTTAATTTAGTTATCGTTCTTCATTCGACTTCGAACATGAATTAATTCCAGTGATAATCATTTGTTATTCTCTCGTTTGGATTTTGACCTTACTCCATTCCTGCATTTTTAATCTGAAAGGTTTTAATCTAAAGGTTTTAAATTTATGGTAAGAACTCTTCCGCTCATCTTTGAAGTATGTACATATGTTAAAATTACTTTCGAGTAGATGTTATATTTCAGTATTTATTTAGTAAAATATCAAGAATTGGTGTAACATTGGAGTTTACAATAGGACTTTCTTCAAGATTATATATATACTTGGTAAAAATAGTAAAATCTAATAACAAATCGATGTGAAACTTTTTGTTTATGCTGCCATATAGAAAAAGAACTTCATCTGGAAAAGGAGTAAACGGTCAAAAAAAATATTAGTAGCATTGTCCTCTACGTGAACAAAATGTAAACATTCATTCTTACATGATATTACATCAGAAAATTTTAAGAGCGAGATATATATATATACATATATATATATGTGTGTGTGTGTTAAATTACGAATTTAACATAAACGTTATTAAAAGATGAAAACATTAATATTTTCTATTTTCTTAGTGATTTAATAATATTTTAGTAGATTCAATAGCACAAATCCATAATTTCGCATATGTAATTATTCTCACAGACAGTGCATATAATACCACTGTAACATTTGTAATATAATTTCATTGAAATTCTCATGTAAAACGTATACAGACAAAAGTTTATGTGATCGTTGTAAGTTCATATCTATGTTTTCATACAACTGCAGTGAATTTTAAATTCTATATACAAAAAAAATATATATATATATAATTCGTATAAGGCAAATATATATATACATACATATAAGGCATATATATGTATATATATTTTATAACTGTAACCTGTATATGAAATGAATATGCATATAATGATAGATGAAACAATATTGTATAGAAGAGAGATATTGAAATACATGAACAGTGCTTTTAAACATTATTGTCTAACATCATTTTGTACCACTAAATTTGTTACGTTGATACTCCGAACTCTTTTTGTATGAGCTTTGTGCTTATACTATACTCTGAAGATTCTTTAGTATATTACCTAAATTTCTTATTGTCTATGCATATATAGATACATGTTTTATATATGATATGATTGTGAATTTTAAGTCTTATGTTTTTTCTTCTCATCCGATTTTATTTAAAATGTTTTCATATACAGCTTTAATTCATTGTCTATTTCATGCAGATGGAATTATATGTGTTGAGAGTAATATATCTCTTTTCTAACATATTTAAATTTTAAAACAGTAAAAAAGAAACTTAATTGGCAAATTTTCAATATTTATGCCAAAATTACATTAATGTTTTCCTTTTTGTTATATTTTGCATTGTAAGGATACAATGCTATGCATACATATATGTCAGTCAGTTAACTGTTTGGGAATGTTTTCTTTTAAATGTGATTTAAAGTTTAATTTTCCTTAAAAAACAACTGCTTATTCCTATACTATAAATTTATTTTATGCATTCACATTTTTGTTTTGATTAATTTAGTATAAGCAGTTTAATAATTCTACTGCATATACTTTTTATTATGCATTTGTCTATCTTTCATCAGTGAGCGATTGGTTACATGTTACTTAAGTTATTATTATTTCCTTTTATGATAGTATATTGATTTTAATATTAATATTTTTAAATCATATATCGAATGCATTAATCAGATACAAAAGTTCATAATATATTTCTATCGATGGTGGTATTGACAAAAAGAATGTTTAGGAATACTTATATAAATACACATGTTGTATAGAATATATAAATTTCAAAAATTGTTTTTTATAAACAATTTGCTAAATTCATATTTTCTCTAAATATGAAAATCACGTAAAAACAAGTATATTTTTGGTACTCATTATACGAACATATTCTTTAAATTTTTGTTAAACAGCTATTCTACATTCCTTGTAATTAAACTAAATAAATACATGTGTGTGTCTAATTTAATATAGTATTATGTAACTGCTTCACTTTGTAATAATGCATATAATATTAACATTAAGATTATTACAAGTATGCATATAGACACATTATTATTAGATATGAGTATTTGACTAAGAACAAATTTTATATCTACATAAAAAGGAAAAGAAGTAATGACAAGTATATAGAAAACCATATTAACTATATATTTCACTTTTGAATGTATGAAATGCGAGTTATTTCTTTGCTTAATTATTCAACTTGATTCGAGTAAAATTATTAAAATAGAAAAGGGAGATTTGTGGTTCCTTCACAAATTAATATTCTTGCAAATATTATTTTATAAATATTTGTTATAACTTATATTTATATTTATATATGTCTGTTTATAATACATAGTACATAGTAAATTATAGGAATTCACTATTATTTAAATTTTTTAAACATTAATAAGTAATCAGATCAATACACATATTTATGAAAATTTATTTTAAATCCTATTTTGAGTATTATTAAAAGTTTTATATATTTTTGCAGGAACTTGATAGTTATTATGTGTTCCTTTTATATTATAGGAGAATATAAAGACTTATCTGTTAGTTCTAAAATTATAAATATATTTTTATTTTTGTCTAATTACTACTTATTGAAAGATAGTAATATAAAATAATTGTTGTAGATGGATGGACATAGTTGGAATTCTTTAAGCAGAATCTTGGCAGGACGGAAACCAGTATTTTTGTATCGTAATGTCAGGCAATGGCGTAAGAGAGCTGCAAAATTAATGAGGGCATCTATGCCTAATACTAATCATCCAGAAAAAGCTTCGGAGTAAGTATATTATTCTATTACCTCTCTTTTTTTTTCTATTAAGATTTTATTTATTTTTTAATTAAAAATATTTATTATATTAAATATTTTTTATTCTTTTATTTTAGTGTATCCAATAAAGATAAAGCATTGGATAGTGTCAGTGCACTTTTAAAAAGGCCATCAGGCTTAAGGTTGACAGATACTGGTGACACATCTGAAATTATTGCTGCTGATGAAACACAATGTCGTTTTAATCCAAATAGTTATCAGATGCTTTATGTTGCTAGTAAAGAGGCTTTCCTTTATAAACAAAATTCTTTTAGTCGTGCTAGAGAGGTATGTACATAAAATATAAACAAATGTTTAGAGATACTATTAATGTTTCATCGATTACAATTATAATAATATGTCGGATAGTATACTATGTATTTATTAACTATAAATTAATGAATATATAAATTTTATTTATACAGTGTCATCCAGCAGTGACAAAACATTTAAATTCGAAATTTCATCATTGGCTTTCATCGTGGGCATCTAAAAATGTCGCAGATGTTCAACATCGATTGTGTCAAGATTGGTTAATGGGGCGATATGAGAACTTGATCCCTCATAGAACACGTGTTATTACGGACAATGATCAAACGCGATCACCATATCGACAGTATAATCGGTATCGCGTTGAACGTTTACAGTCGGACGTTCTTACAGAATCATGTGTGTAATTTCATTATTTTTCCGTTTCTTTTGCGATTATCTGTTATTTTAACACAACTAAATTAGACAACATTTCATATTAATTCATATTAATTTGATATCAATGTACATTCTGTTCCATTATCGAATGATTAAGTGAATCGATACATTTAATTCTGTGTATTGTATATGGATCTCGAAATATCTTTGGCCTCGCGTTTATGTATCCAGCCAAATATTTTTATTTTCACTATGAAAACGATATTCAATATCAGTTATGGGAACTTTTCTTCGATTATTGTATGAAATTATAACGAAGGATGTATTTAACTGATTATTGACTTTATTCCAGGTATTATAATTTACCAGCTTTAACATTTGTGATAGATTTATGTCTTCTTTTTTTTTTTCTTTTCTTTTTTTCTTTTTTTCTATACGTGTTATATGTAATTAGAAATATCACACATTGTCATCATCCGTGTATATCATTTATTTCAAAATAATATTCTAATAATATTTTATTATTAACGAAAGCAACCTCGAATGACAAAATAATCTTCAGTGTGTATATTCTATATCGAAACGTATGAAAGAGTTGACAACTTAATTCATAAATTATGTATAAACAAAATTCTAAAAGATAATTTAATAAGACTCTTTAAAATATTCTAATGATTTCAATTTTCGTACATTTCTTTCCAAATGTATTGTGAAAGCATTATGTTTAAATGAATTTTGATCAATCAAATTAAATAATAATTTTGTATTCATTTTATATATCATTGTATGTATATAATGTTTTGGTTTTTCATAATGTTCTTCATAGAAGCATAAAATTTTTCGTAGAAAAAAAATTTACGAATAATTAAATTCTTTGAAATTCATCTAAAGAAACGTATTAACAACATAAGTAAATATCCTTCGTTATATTTTATATGTCTAAAGGCCTTATAAATATTCTCTTTAATATGTCCAACAACTTATTTTCCTTCTCTTTTTTCCTTATCAATTTTTTTTTGTTTCCTAAGACACACAGATTGATCTTAATTTGCCTAACTGTACCATGTATGTACATATTTGTACATATGTGTATATGCACGGATATTTCAGACGCGATTAAATACCGTTGTATTTTTGTATAATACGTCCAAGCACTATTCTATAAATTTTCACACAAAACGTTACATTGTATTTGAATGCGAGAAGAGTTTCATAAAAGTGCAATGAATGCATCGTTGCAGGAGAGTGAATCTTCTTTAATTCTCAACGATAAATTTACGAATAAAATAGAGGAATGAAGTTGAAGGAGTGCTTTATTTGTCATATGCAATATTTTAAGATTTATGTGTGATTTTTAAAAAGATACTTACTGCACTTAACGCATGTATATATACTGAGTGATTCCAAAGTCAAATGATTTCGCACTAGTGTTATATTAAACGTTTATTAATTAAAAAAGAAACCACACACAAATCTTTTCAATTAATTTTAATTTTGAGTTTGATCATTATAGAAAATATACACACATCAATGAAATTGTTGACACTTATTCAAAATCATTTAGTATGTATGCATGTGCTTATTATGTATGTGTGTATGTGTGCGTCTCGCATATGTATATATAAAAAGTATGTATATGTAAAAAGAGGAGACATGGATCTCTGGGCCTTATGATTTACCTGATCTTATTATATAAGAACTTTCAGAAGTATAAGAACAAAAAGAAAATATGAAGATTAATAAGAATATTCATGTATTATGAAAACAAACAACCAAATATAAGAGAAAAAAGGAAAGAAAAAGAACAAAAAAGAAATACATGTAACACATCAGAAATAAAAATCAGATATACACTGTATTGATATAAGCAATGAACTCGAGTTTTTTGCACACGAATCACATGTAACACAAGAAAAGATTGCTTACATTTCATTTTTTCTTCTAATCTTACCACCACGATCGTATATTTAATATAATGCACGTACGCGAATGTGTTCGTCGTGTATGAGATGAAGAGGAGAAGTAAGAGGAACGTATGATCGTGTTTTTATATGCTTCCGTAAAATGTTATTTTTTTAACATATGTTACGTGTAAATCTTATTATCTTACTAAAAAAGAAAGCATATCTTGCATTAACTTAATTTTTATTATTATTATTATTATTATTATTATTATTATTATTATTATTATTATTATTATTATTATTATTATTATTATTATTATTTCTTTTTTTCTTCCCTTCGTTTTGTTATTCGTTTTAAAGTTTTTATGTGTTTATGCATTTTACGGATAACACAAAGTATTTATTCTTTATATACATATATCTGTGTGTATATATATATACGCATATATATATACACATATATGTATAGGTACAGATATGTTACATGATACATGATCAAAAGGAAAAAAGAAATAAATATACGAAAATTAATATACTTTTTCATCATGACTTTACTGATTAGTAATCATTCTCATTCTGTATGTATGCGTGCGTGCGCGTGTGTGTGTATGTATGTATACATATATTACTGTATTTTTTCTTTTTGATACAATGTATGTTGATAACAATTTTTTAAAAAAGAAACGAAACAAATACAAACAAAAATATGATCGTTTTGAGATGCACTGTTACATATTCAGTTGTATATGTATTCTTTACATTGAGACTCTTCTAGGTTGTATTATATATATATATATATATATATATATATATATATATATATATATATATATATATATATATATATATATATATATATATAAATATAAGAAAAACTCATTACACTGTTAATAATCATACAATTAAAGTAATCGAATAAGATGTTTACAAACTGAAAGTGAAAATAATAAAGGATGAATGGAGAATGGAGAAAAACAATGAGAGAGAGAGAGAAGGGGGCAGGAGGACGGGAAGAGAGCGAGAGAGAACGAGAGAGAGAGCGAGAGAGAGAGAGAGAGAGAGAGAGAGAGAGAGAGAGAGAGAGAGAGAGAGAGAGAGAGAGAGAGAGAGGTCTTCCGATGCTTGAATTATTTGTGAGTTTAGATATAATGTATTTTATAATATTAAAAAAAAAATATCGCCAATTTAGAAAAAAGATACATTTACTCCATGTATGAAAATTAAATGTACAGGCAATTTTACTAAAGATAATAATTTAATGTTGATATATTTTGCACAAATCATTATTAATATTAATAATAAATCATTAATATTAAAAATTCTATTGTATAGTGTTCTTCGTTCACAACCTGATTATATGAATTAATAATCCTTTACTAATAGTGTTTCAATAGTGATTATTAATAATAATAATAATAATAATAATAATAATAATAATAATAATAATAATAATAATAATAATAATAATAATAATAATAATAATAATAATAATAATAATAATAATAATAATAATAATAATAATAATAATAATAATAATAATAATAATAATAATAATAATAATAATAATAATAATAATAATAATAATAATAATAATAATAATAATAATAATAATAATAATAATAATAATAATAATAATAATAATAATAATAATAATAATAATAATAATAATAATAATAATAATAATAATAATAATAATAATAATAATAATAATAATAATAATAATAATAATAATAATAATAATAATAATAATAATAATAATAATAATAATAATAATAATAATAATAATAATAATAATAATAATAATAATAATAATAATAATAATAATAATAATAATAATAATAATAATAATAATAATAATAATAATAATAATAATAATAATAATAATAATAATAATAATAATAATAATAATAATAATAATAATAATAATAATAATAATAATAATAATAATAATAATAATAATAATAATAATAATAATAATAATAATAATAATAATAATAATAATAATAATAATAATAATAATAATAATAATAATAATAATAATAATAATAATAATAATAATAATAATAATAATAATAATAATAATAATAATAATAATAATAATAATAATAATAATAATAATAATAATAATAATAATAATAATAATAATAATAATAATAATAATAATAATAATAATAATAATAATAATAATAATAATAATAATAATAATAATAATAATAATAATAATAATAATAATAATAATAATAATAATAATAATAATAATAATAATAATAATAATAATAATAATAATAATAATAATAATAATAATAATAATAATAATAATAATAATAATAATAATAATAATAATAATAATAATAATAATAATAATAATAATAATAATAATAATAATAATAATAATAATAATAATAATAATAATAATAATAATAATAATAATAATAATAATAATAATAATAATAATAATAATAATAATAATAATAATAATAATAATAATAATAATAATAATAATAATAATAATAATAATAATAATAATAATAATAATAATAATAATAATAATAATAATAATAATAATAATAATAATAATAATAATAATAATAATAATAATAATAATAATAATAATAATAATAATAATAATAATAATAATAATAATAATAATAATAATAATAATAATAATAATAATAATAATAATAATAATAATAATAATAATAATAATAATAATAATAATAATAATAATAATAATAATAATAATAATAATAATAATAATAATAATAATAATAATAATAATAATAATAATAATAATAATAATAATAATAATAATAATAATAATAATAATAATAATAATAATAATAATAATAATAATAATAATAATAATAATAATAATAATAATAATAATAATAATAATAATAATAATAATAATAATAATAATAATAATAATAATAATAATAATAATAATAATAATAATAATAATAATAATAATAATAATAATAATAATAATAATAATAATAATAATAATAATAATAATAATAATAATAATAATAATAATAATAATAATAATAATAATAATAATAATAATAATAATAATAATAATAATAATAATAATAATAATAATAATAATAATAATAATAATAATAATAATAATAATAATAATAATAATAATAATAATAATAATAATAATAATAATAATAATAATAATAATAATAATAATAATAATAATAATAATAATAATAATAATAATAATAATAATAATAATAATAATAATAATAATAATAATAATAATAATAATAATAATAATAATAATAATAATAATAATAATAATAATAATAATAATAATAATAATAATAATAATAATAATAATAATAATAATAATAATAATAATAATAATAATAATAATAATAATAATAATAATAATAATAATAATAATAATAATAATAATAATAATAATAATAATAATAATAATAATAATAATAATAATAATAATAATAATAATAATAATAATAATAATAATAATAATAATAATAATAATAATAATAATAATAATAATAATAATAATAATAATAATAATAATAATAATAATAATAATAATAATAATAATAATAATAATAATAATAATAATAATAATAATAATAATAATAATAATAATAATAATAATAATAATAATAATAATAATAATAATAATAATAATAATAATAATAATAATAATAATAATAATAATAATAATAATAATAATAATAATAATAATAATAATAATAATAATAATAATAATAATAATAATAATAATAATAATAATAATAATAATAATAATAATAATAATAATAATAATAATAATAATAATAATAATAATAATAATAATAATAATAATAATAATAATAATAATAATAATAATAATAATAATAATAATAATAATAATAATAATAATAATAATAATAATAATAATAATAATAATAATAATAATAATAATAATAATAATAATAATAATAATAATAATAATAATAATAATAATAATAATAATAATAATAATAATAATAATAATAATAATAATAATAATAATAATAATAATAATAATAATAATAATAATAATAATAATAATAACAATAACAATAACAATAACAATAACAATAACAATAACAATAACAATAACAATAACAATAACAATAACAATAACAATAACAATAATAATAACAATAACAATAACAATAACAATAGCAACAATAATAATACGCTCTCCAGATTTTGCTAAATCGAAACTCATACGCTTTATTGATGTTATTTACGCGATAAAAAATCGCACTTATGTGATTTTTCTTAAAATGACTTCTATTGTGACCTCAGTTTTTATCAAACTTGTTTTAGTAGAGCGATGAAAGTACCGAGTTTTTAAAACTTTACATTTAAAAAATGGGAAAGGTAAGTAATTATATATATTAAAAAATAGTTATATATTTATCAGTGAATAACATTCTATTAGATAACTGTTTATATTATACTTTGTAAATCCATTTTACAATAATCCATATATGAAAAAATCTCTTCGTATATTTTAATCCTGATTTCTTTTTTTTTATTATTATCATTAATCATGATTTTTCTGATCTTAAAAGGCAATTTCTTTAATTCAAAAAACATTGTTTTCGATAAAATATAAACATTCATGCAGTTAATATATAATGAAATTGGAAGAAAAAGAAAATAGGAAAAGAATAAAGAATAAACCAATTTTATGAATAAACTTACTCGTTTTATTAAAAATTGTATTATTTTCGGGGTTAATAAAGGGCGAGGAAGGAAGGTAGCGAGGTAGGGCTCGTTAAGGTGGAGGTCGATAATATTAATTATATAATAATTGTACAATACAATCGGTTTTGTACTTTTATCTTTTAACTTATTTTTTGTTTTGTTTTGTTTTGTTATCTTTGTATATTACACATAAAAGTTATTTGAAATACTGCATTACGAATACGTTTAATTAGAGCCTCTGTCAAAAAGTGATTACCATTTTCTTTTCTGAATATTTCGATGTAATAATTAAACATAAAAGATGTTTTCTTTTCTTTTTTTTCTGTTTTGCTTTCTCTTACACCTTTTTAACAACATTTTTACTTAATTATTATTTATTATTATTATTAGCAATTTGCGTGTAAATAGTTATATATATACATATATAATCGATTTCACGAAATAACGGAGATCATAATTTTCGAACGACGTTGACTTCATTTTTGTTTTGGCTTTCTTTCTTTCTTTTGTTGTTGTTATATAATTTATTGATATATAATTTATATGAGGCTAATGATTTTTTGTTTTTTCTTCTTCACATAGATTTATCTCTCTTAATTATTTCAAATGTTTAAATCTTTATACTTAACTATTACTCCCTTACGATATACTTAAACATTAATTGCTCGCATTATTTTACAAAGAGTTTTTGCTTTTCTCTCTCTCTCGAATAGTCGATAAGATGGAGACGACAAAAAATTATTCAATATTTTTTGTAATACTACCACACAAATTACTATAGCTATTTTTTCAACCACGATCCCATTTCCATTAAGTACAACGTTATTAATAACTTTGGAAAGGATTCGCGTGGGACCTTATTGTAAAACAAAAAAAAAGAAAAAGAATGAAAAGAAAAAAGAAAATTGTAAATACATCAAAAAGTTAATCTTGTTACTTATACGATATTTTTAATTCTGTTGATATAATTAGGTATGTTGACACATTGTTGAAAACGTTGTGACACCTGCACTACTTGTGTATGTACAGGTATTCATAACTTATGTAATTATTAAACTACATGTATAACATTTTTTGTAACGCATTATCATAATATTGCTTATATTTTTAAATATAATGTTTCCTTAATTTTGATATTATTAATTTTCTGGAATATTAAATATTTCAATAACAATTTTAATTCCGATTATAAATATAATCGATGAAAAAAATATTAATTTTTTGCATATATATATATATATATATATATATATATATATATATATATTATTCTAATATAATTAATTTGCATGTAATAATCAACAATGCGTCATACCAAAATCACGTGTTCTACTTAACTTGGTCTCGCTCTCTCTCTCTCTTTTTCTCTTTCTTCTTCTCTTTTTAATAAAAATATTTTAATAATTATTTTTATATATACCACTTAGAAAGAATTAATCGATTGTAAATTATTACGAGCAAACTGTTTTAAAACTATATTTCTAAATTGTAAACTTAATTATATACATACACACACACACACACATATATATATATATATATACACGTGTGTGTGTGTATATGTGTGTGCGCATATATCGGATGCGCTGAAAACCGACTAACGAAGGACGGTCTTAAGTGACCTTACAATTGAATTCAATTTAGGAATTGGAAAGAAATGTTTTCTTCTGTTGATGTCGTTGCATATCGCATCGAAATGATACATATTTCAAATAATAAATTATGCGAAAAATATAAAATTAATTCTTTTCTACTTTAACTTTTAGAAGATGGTCATATTTGACCAGAGAATAATTATATTATATATATATTTATATTTATATATATAATTATTATATTATTGTATTGAAATATGATAAATGGCAGAAAAATTATTGAGGATAAAGGAAGACAATGTGTCACAAATATATATATTTTTACCTTTCTTTTCTTTTTTTCTTTTCTTTACGTTTTCTCATTTAAATCGTCTGAAAATAAATTGATACAAAAAAAAAGTTCGAAGGATAAGGCTTTCTTTTATAATGGAATATTAATCGTTAAATTTATTGAATGTGTTTTGTGTTATTGACGTCTTTGATTAAAAAAAAAAAAAAAAAAAAAAACAAAGAGAAAAAGAAAAAAAGGACAAAAATAAAAAAAGAAAGAAAGGGATAAAAGTCTTCTAATTCGTGTCTTCTGTGGGTGCCTCGGTATCATTCGACGTCGTGTTTTGACGACACCGATATACGTATGCACTTACGGATAAATCATCTTCCGTATGTACGCACTTGTATGAATAATCTGGGCACTCGCATCTAAGAAAAACAAATGAGAAAAATAGATCGATATTTGACTTCAATACTCTCTTAATATTATCAATTATATTTTAATTAAGAAAAATCAAAACAAAATTAAAGAATTATTCTCTATAATAATTGATATACCTAAATATATATATATATATATATATATATATATATATATATATATATATATATATATATATATATGTTAATGATTTTCTAAAAATCAATTTTAAATCTAATGAACATGCAAATAGAGAATAGAAATCTTTTTTTCTTTGAATCAAGTCTATAAAAAAGTAATTCCTAAATTTTTCTAAAAACGCTATCGTAATAGAAATTAATTAGAAATCTTGTATAGCCGATCTATTGAATAGATTTTATTATAAAATTTCTACAGTATTTGTTATTACATTAGAGGATGAAAATAGGAGAATAATGAACACTGGCCATCTTGCTCGTTCTATAAATAAAATCGAAACTGTTTAGATTTCAACATTTTATGGGTTTAATAACGTGGTACTAAAATCATACTACGATTCCTACAAAACGAGTTCAAGAGAATATATACTACTTCCACTACTACGAAATATCGGGGATCATTGCCCCTGTTCGGTTTAAGTACTGTTTAAATTAGTCGGCTGTTTCCTTGTCGGCATCGTTTCATCTAAGTTATTACTGTCGGGAAGTAAGTCAGATTTCGGATTTATAATATGTCGATAACGTATGAATATATATATATAGTGTGCATGTGCACTTGAAAACGAAATGCTCTGATAATATTTAATTTTACTTCTATTAGCAATCTTTTTTTTCTTAATAACCCATACAAACCAATTTCATATATTGTATATATATATATATATATATATATATATATATATATATATACAGAATGAACTAAAAGTACAAGATGATTCAAAAAATCAATTATCCTTTTTATTCAACGGACTTTTTATACTTTTAGTTAGGTTTGTAGTTATACAATTTGAAAACACAATAAACAAAGTATTAGCCTAAAAAGCCATGAAAAAAAATAATTATTTTTAAGATCAACGGAACTTTTGATTCTTATATATAAATCCGCAAATCATATCATTAATTAACATTAGACATATATATCGTTCCAATCGAAATCAATTTTATTTATATTTTGATTTAACATATTTAATTGAAGATGAAATAATTAAACAATTTTTTCTTTTTTTATTTTTTCTTTTAACTTTGATTCTAAATAATTTTTTTTTCCAACAATCTACCAATTCGATATATTTATGTTATCAATCTTAATGTATTTATTTTTAAAAACATTCATCCTTTAATAATAAACTAATAATAATATAGCGATAATAAACAAATGTAATATTACTGTAATAAATACTTATTGAAAATTTTTCAATATATAAAACTATAATAAATAAATATGATAAATACAAGAAGAAGAAGGTTAACTTACGTGTTTCTCATGAAATATTCGAAGCGTCGCGTGAACTTAGTATAGATCGCCCATCCACAAGGGTTGCCTTGACAAATATGTCGTGTCCCGTTTCGTTCTTCAAGATCAGTCGAGCGTAAATCTCTGACCTTGTTAATTACTGTGCTCCGTAGCATTTCTTCCATTGCTTCGGAGAATTCCTATATTGAATGAAGAAGAAGAAAAAAAAATATATATAACATTAAATTAAATAAATAAATAAAAAACGTTTCTGCATTAATATACCAACATAGATGATATTAAAAAAAAAAAGGAAAAAAGGAAAAAAAAAGCAAAAATTAATAATCTCCATATAAAAAATCGCAAATATAATCGTTTGTTTGGATGTCGCAGAGATGAGAAACAAACAAAAAAACAACCGACGTAAAAATACATAGATATATGGTGAAAGAATTTAAGAAGTCAATTTAGATCAAGCGCGTGTTAAACGGATTAAAATCGATGATTTAACAAGCCCATTAATTTATATTACGATGATGTGTAGACCTATTTTACAACTGCGTGCACGAGTGGAACGTAATTAATAAGAAAAAAATAAAAAATAAACAAAAAGATGATAATAAAAAATTTATAAAAGAAAAAATATACATATATATATATGTATATATAAAATGAAAAAATATTAAATCGGATCACCGGAATGAACGAAGGAAATGTATATACACGCACAAAGTTCTATATATTACTTATTAATATCTATACATATACATAATAATGCGCCGTACAGAGAAATACATACGTACATAAATCAAAGAGCGAATTGGCAAAATCGCGTTCATACCGTCCGATTATCTTTCGGCGTTTATTGCGTCAAAACCTAACGACGCAGTTCGGGGTCAATGCCATCGACCTCGAATCTTGAAAAAGAGATGCGTATGCTTGCCTCTGAAGGCGTTTTATATATCCATATGTACATATATGTATGTGATGTGTGTACAAGTATATATATGTATGTATCTATGTATTTACAGTATGGATGCATCCATATATGTGTATCATATATATATATGTATAAACAAATTTTAATATTCTTTTTTATCAAACATTTTACGAAACTCTAATTCATAGAAACTTATATGGAGAGATATATGCGAAAATTTTGTGATAAAAAATAAGTAATAACATTTTTGTTTAATTCCTTAAACAAATATATTCATTAGAATTATGTGTATATAAACAGAAATTAAGTGAATGTTCTTTCATAAAATTACGATATACCACGAAATTCATTTGATCGATAATTTTATATTTTATATGGATTTTAAAAACAGGTATAAATATTTATTATATAGATTATATGCATTATTTTAAATTTGTTATCTGTATATACTCCTCTGTTAATAATATGAAATGTATATATAATCAATAGATCAAATATATATGTTCTTCTACAAATTAACATACGTATATGCAAAAAATAGCGTAATATGTATAAATTTAATAATAAAACAATATGCTCTTATATAGATCGAAGTATATACATTTCTATATACAATACAAATATTCTATATTTGAGCAAAGTATTAATAAAATGAAGATGAAATAAAAATTTGAATTCGCATAAAAAAAGTAATTGTAATTTTAAAACGAAAATTTCGATCGTATCAACGAAATGCCTGTATAAATCGGCTATATAAATTCTTATATACAACATACATACATATATACAATGAGAGAGAGAGAGAGAGAGAGAGAAAAAGAGTATATTCAAAACAAGGATGAATAAAATTCAATTGAGACAAATTCGAATTTGCGTAAAAAAGTGATTCTAATTCCAAAACCGAAGATCTTGATCGTATCAACGAAATTCTTATCCAAGTAGAAATAAAATACAGTTGAAAAAAAGATTCGAATACGTGCAAAAAAGTGATTCTAATTTTAAACCGAAAAACTTGATCGTACTAACGAAATATCTTTAAATGTCCTTATGTACAACGAATATATTACAATACATTTAATTCAAATATGAATAAAATACATTTGAGAGAAGTACTGGAATTCGTGTAAAAAAAAAGAAAAAATGATCATAATTTTAAATCGAAAATTTTGATCGTACTAACGACTGATTAAAAAAAGAAAAAGATATAATAAATAAATGAATGAATAAAAAATAAAAACGGAAATGAAAACGAAAAAGCGAAATGAGAAAAATAAATAAACTAAACAAATTTGAAAAAATTTCTAAATTAGGGAAAAAGAAAAAAATCGTACTTACTTGGGAGGATCTAACCACAGCGCTGTCACTTTCCGTAGAGTACCACATGATCGTGGTGATGAGCGTAACGATGACAATAACGACTTTGCGTTCCATTTTCTCTTACTCCTCTTCGAATACAAAACAATTTTAAACAAATCCTTTTAAATTCCAAAACTTTTAATCCTTGTAACTTCGCGATCCTCAATTAGACGACCACGAATCTCTCTTTCTCTTTCTCTCTCTCTCTTCTTTCAATGTCCTGTCTTGTTCCCCGTCGAAACAAGGAAACCGTTTGTTCGTTGGCGGGAAAACGCGATCCTTAAGCACGTTTTATCGACGATCTCTTCTTTTGTACACGTAAAGTATAATCAAAGGATATCGTATAAGGGAAATAAAACTTTAATAATAATTTGGAGTTCAAAGTATAGGTATAGATAGGAGTGAAGGAAATAAGAAAAGAAATGATATATAAGATAGAGATCTTCGAATTTTTTGTTTTTAGAAAAAACTAAATCTTTGAATAGAATAGAAAGAAAAAGAAACAAACACAAACACACAAAAAAAAGGGATATGGATATAGATATATATATCAATATATAAATATTGATTGAATGAATCCAAAGTGAGTTCTGTTGATATAATCTTTTTCTCTTTTTCTATCTTTTTATCTCTCCTTCTCTCTCTCTCTCTCTCTCTCTCTCTCTTCTGTAGCGCAGAAAACTCCCCAAAAACTTCCCCAGAAACGAATTTCTATGAACTTGTATCGCGTGTTGAATTTCGTATTACGTACGCTGTTTTCTTTCTCTCTCTCTCTTTCTTTCTATCTCTGTCTCTCTGTTCTTATCTCTTTCTCTTTTTCTCTCTCTATAAACTCACGACTCTGTTCGAAATTTAGACATAGACTGTTCTCTCGTGTTAAAGAGTGAGGACGCTTCCAAGGCACCGAAGGTTTATATAGGTTGCGCCGTTGTTCGAACTAGTGACTTGTGCCACGTGGTGATGGTGGGGAATGACGATGAGTGGAAAGGGTGGGGGACAGAGGAAAGATGATCATTGCGATCGGTCGGAAGAGTTGTGAAGAGAAACGGAGGGGAAGGTGCGTGTCGCGTTTCTACGCATCTTTTTTCTTTTTCTTTTTCTCTTTCCTTTTTGTTTTATTTTGTTTTGTTTTCTTTTATTGGTGGATGTATATACATACGTGTATGCGTCGCGCGTGCATATTTCTACGTATGATTTGAATATTATGTTAAATAATCGTTTTCAAAAAAGCATTCAAATAATTTTCGAAATATTTAGATGAATTGTTGTTTTTCATTGATTCGATTATTTATGATTTTCTAATTAAATTAAGTTTATATTATTCGATTATTTATGATTTTCTAATTAAATTAAGTTTATATTATTGTTATTGTTATTATTATTAAGTTTTATAAAGCTTAATATTTTGAATAAAAACAAATTAATCTTATTTCTTTATAAATATATATATTATAATTTTATTGCATGTGGATCCATTATCAGTATATAGAATATTTTAGATTCTTTTTGTTAAGAAGAATCCTAAACGGAGGGATCTAGAATATTATTCTTCATCTTGAATCTTATTAAATATTTTTACGAAAAACATTTTTTCCCTATATTATGACATACTACTTATATATTGTAAAAAAAAAGAAAGAAAAAACAAATATTATTTAAATGATACGATAAATTAATTTCATATATAAAATATACAAAATATGAAACATTCCAGTTAGATAAAAATCGTGACTTATTCGTAAGTTCGTGACTTATGTATACGTGAATTTTTTTACATAGGTTGACGAATAATTTGTAATTTGATGGGAAACCCGGTACACACTTATATGACACACAGACGCACACATAAATAGAATGATCAAATTACATAGATACGTCAGACGCTGTTGTACAACGGATTATATTGCATCATATTCGTTTCCACATATCATAACATCGGCTTGCGACGCGTTCTTTTGCGTATCGGACTCTGATTTCATTCTCAACGGTATATTAGAAGCAATCCGTGAATTATCTCGAACGCGTTTGTGGTTGTGACGTAATTTCGTGCATCAATATGTTCAAGAATTGAAAGGGTTCATTCACGTTTGCATGATTATTTTATAATTATTATTTTATATTTCAAAATGTATCAAAAAGAAAAGAAAAGAATTTAATATAAAAAATTTAATATAAATTTTTATGTTTATCAACATCATGTATTTCTCTTTATATATTTTTGTAATTTATATAATATATTTTTCTGGAATGCATATATATATATATATATATATATATATATATATATATGTTATACATATGTATCCGTATATCGTATATACGGCATTATAATTTGATTTAATAATTATTTTATATTCCAAAATATAACAAAAAATTTAATATAAATTTCCTTATTTATGACGTCATGTATTTCTATATATATTGTATATATATTTCTGGAATATATATATGTATTAATGTACATTTTAAATTACATGTTCGTTTGCACACGAACTTATTTTCATTGTGGTAGCAAACATAGTGTTCTCTAATCGAATCGAGGAGAATTCGATTAGTACGGTTTTAGAATAGGAGGACACTGTATTAAGTCGTAGCTAGATTGCATCAGCTACCATCAAGTTCATGCATGACGCAAACTCAAGTTTTGTTAGATTATCCTCAAGATTTAAGAGTATCGTCTTCCTAATTCGACCTGGTCATAAGTAGGTATCCTAATTAATTTTTGACCTCTAGTAAAGAAATTCCTCACATTAGTATATATGTACACACACACAGACATTCCAATTCCTTAGTTTATATATATATATATATATACATGTATATATTATTATTAGTCATGTACATATATATATGGTTTATATATTGTACGATATTGCATAGGTACTTGCAAATTTTTTGAATTAACAACTTTGTAAACACGTTCACATATACAAATTTTATATATATACACACACACACAATTAATATATATATATATATATATATATATATATATATATATATATTAATCAAAATTATATTTTTAAGAAATTCATGATATTTTAATATAGTTTTGATTACACACTCAATTTAAGATTCGTATAACTATATAAGTTAGTACCTAGAACAATATCTATAACAGTCAATAACATTTATTAGAAATAACTACGATGAAAAATGATAAAGTGAATTCGTTAAATGAATTATCTTTCCTTATCTTTATTTATTTTTTGGAGTACAATAAAAATTCAAGAAATCATTATAATAATAAAACTTTAAAATTTCAACGAAGAGAATAATATAGTAATTCATGGAGACGCTAGAAACAAAAAGGAAACAAAAACAAAAAAAAACAATATCGTGGGAAACTAGAAAATGAAAAAGGTATCTTTATTTGGAAGAAGAAAAAAGAGAAAAAATAGAATATTAAATAAAAGAATATTTGTATGAGACAGAAAAAGAGACATAGAGAGATAGAGAGATAGAAAGATAGAGAGATAGAGAGATAAAGAGATAGAGAGAGAGAGAGAGACAGAGACAGAGAAGGATATGTCAAACGTTGGACAAGCAAAATATTTTTCTGGTTAGTATTTAGATGCTTGTCATCATCGTTATCGTCATCATTCTGGAACGCGATAGGTTAACAAGGTGTCGGTCGATTAGAGACCGCCATATTATCGGTAGATAAACGAATGGGCGAGTCGATGCGCGGAGGCACGATGGGGGCCCGCTTATGTATTGACCAATCAGCGTTAAGCAACGATGCGACGCTTTGAGTGGCGTTTCCTTGAGCACGCGCGCGCCTGCGGGAACGAACTACCGTGCATCGAGAGTATGTTTTGAGCTCTCTTATCATCGATTTCTTGTATTAATGATGTTAACAAGATGCATCAATGTATTATTAACGTGTTTTTCTAGCTGTTTAGTGTCGTATCAGCGTGGGCATATCTATAATTTACGTGCACGTGATTTTTGCGATTAGAAGAAATTTTTCTTTTTTTCCTTTTTTTTTTTATTCTCTTTTTGTTTGTTTTTCTTTCTATATTTAATTATTAGAATCATTATATTGTTTTAAAATAAACGGGTGAAGTATTTGTCACTTTGTTTTGATTAAGATTTTATACAAATAAAGTATTGACCAACATAATTAACAAGATTTACCAAAATATTATAAATGTGTTTTTCTAGTTGATCAGTATGATATTAGCATGGGCATATTTAATTTACATGCACGTGATTTTTGCGATTAAAATAAAATTTTTCTTTTTTTATATTTAATTATTAGAATTATTTTATTATTTTAAAATAAATAATATCAATGATATTCGGATCATGAAATTGTTATTTGTTTTGATTAGAATTTTATACTGATAATGCATTAACTAACATAATTGACAAGATTCATCAAAGTATTATAAATGTATTTTTCTAGCTGTTTAGTGTTATATTAGAGTGGGCGTATCCAATTTACGTGTACGTCATTTTTGTGAATTAGAAACATTTTTTTTCCATTTAATCATTAAAATAATTATCATATGAACAATATGATTAAAGATATTTAATATTTAATAAAACATTTTGTATATTCGTTCTAATTATTCTTTTATAATAAAACCAATGATAATCGATAATCGTGATATCTTTTGAATATTCGTGTAAATGCGCATTTTACTTAAGATAAGATAAGTAAATGTTGTAAGAGTAATAAGAGATCACGACTCGGTGTATCAATGTCGGTGGTTTGGTCTCTTGTAACGTGTATCGTATTTGATCTGACAGGTGTTCGAACTTTACATCGTTCATAGAGAATGTGATTCGATGCAACTAGAAAATTATCGATAGATTCTAATATACTTCCATCGATCTATTGATGGAGCAATATTGTACCACATAATGCGTCTTATTTCTTATTTTTTATTATCATAAAAAAATGATACAATTTTTAAAACCTAAATGCCTAGATCCGATATATTAATTCGATCATAAATATTGATACTTTAAATAATTGATAAAATCATTTGTTTTTTCCTGAAATAAATAAATAAATAAATAAGATAAAATAAAAAGACGTGTGACAAACGTGGGATAGAAATGATATGTTTTTGAAACCTATCACAATTATGTATAACATGTAAATATTAGTTGCGATCATAAAAATTGATCCAACAAATAATTTGTAAAATTATATTTTTCTTTTCGTGAAAGAAATTGAATACCTAAAACAAAAAAAAAACAAACGTGTGATCAAACGCGAGTTGAAATGATATTTTTCTAAGCAGTATAGCCTATATCCTCGCGATATTTCATATCTTTCTGAAACTCGTAAATACGAAAAGGGATAAAATCCAAAATTTGACAAGGAGTTATACGAAGAAGTATAAAAAAGAAAAAGAAAAAAGGAGAAGAAAAAGAAAAAACAGAAAAAAAGAAAGAGAAAAGAAAAAGCGCTTTAAAAGAATCAATTCGAATCTTTCGAGACTTTTCGAATTTGAAAACGAATAGTTGATGGTAAGCTCTCTCCCGATTCGGTGATGTGTCCTGACGTAGTAGGTATTTCTTATCTTGAAATAGAATGAGGCGGAGAGTGTGGAGTGGAATATAATAGAGGGAGTCGATTTCAAAGTAAAACGAAAAAGGGAAACCATCGGGGGAATGGGGTGAGGAGAGAGAGGTAGGGCTAGTTTGGGGGAACGAGGGAACAAGGGAGGTAAAGGAAGAAGACCGAGAGGAAGCTTATGACTCTCATCTTTAAATTGCGTCATTTCTGTCTTTCTCTCCTCCGGGAGAGGAGAGTTACGCACAGCATGAGTTTATCGTACTCTCTCTCTCTCCTCTCTCTTTCCTTCTTTCTTTGCTTTTCTTATTCTACGCAGTCCAAAAGAAAGAAAGAAAGAAAGAAAGAAAGAAAGAAAGAAAGAAAGAAAGAAAGAGAGAGAGAGAGAGAGAAAGAGAGAGAATCATCATGTTTTCAGTCATCGAGGGTACAAACTCTGTCTCCGATTGAAACTCCAACTACTACACTATAAGTCGAGCAATGACATTATATTGTATATGTACATATATCTTATTACACATACA